AAATTGACTCCAGTGAAGTTTTAAATTTCAATTTTTTTTAGGGAAGAAAAATGGCAAAAAGCTGTCAAAGCACCTCTCCCACATCTTACCAGAATATATGGTCTTAATGGCATTACCAGTGAAGGAGCAGGTAATTTCAATGCCTAGCAAAAGAATTGACAGAAGAAATTTTCTAAATTTCTAAGTCTGATCATGTTTTCTTTTCAAAGAAAACAAAAGACCTAATTGGCAGAAGAATATTGTTGCAAAGATCAGTATGGATTTGGCAACATGTTAATAGATTCATCCATTGTAACCAAGTTTTTTAATATTAGGGCATCTAGTGATGTAATTAATCCTACGATGGGTCTTGGAGGGGTCCTTATGGGGGGAAATCATTTGCTTCTGATTCCAAATGCTGAAAAGGTACTGTTCGGTATTTAACATACATTCTTGGTGAATGGGGGGGAAAAGATAAAACGGATGGTTTCTTAACTTGGTAACATGTCTTAGAGTAATATGTGTGTGTGTACTCCAAAACTAGCATCATGGTGAGTATGGAGCTACTTGAAGTATTTTATCTCAAATGTAACTGGCTGGGTTGATGGGGAACAGTTGAGCCAGGTGAGGGGCTAGGTGGAGTGAAATGGGAAACAGGACTGCTAGGCATGGGGTGGATCAGTGGCCTGATTGAGCTTCAGACTGGACTGTTCCCCTACATTGTCATTCCTCCTGCTGAACTGTCCTGGAGGTAGAACTAGGGATTGGAGTTTTACTTTGATTTTATGTTGCATTCCGATGAACAAAGACTTATCTGTCTGTATGCTGATGGACTTGAGTGAAAATGCTTTTTAATTGGCTTCAACTAAGGACGTGGTGGCTAAGAATACAGAATCTGAGTTCCGATTTTGGCTCTATCACAGTTTTTGTGCTCAAAGGAAAGTCACTTCCCTTCCCAGTGCCTCCTCTTCCCTCCCTCTACTAACATTAGCTATCTGGCATGGCTGTCTGAGGATTGGGTGAGGTGAAGTGTGGGAAACAGAAGGCCCTGCACACGTCTTATGAGATGGGTCTAAGGATGTGGTGTTGCCCTTGTCTGAAGTACAGGCAGCAATTCTCCAGCCTCTAGATAAGCCTCAGCACCAACACCATTTGCTTTTGATCCCTGACCATTCTGAAGGGTGGAAGAGAAATTGTAAGGTGACCTTCTTGTCAAATAACTTGAGTAGCCAAACATTTCTTAATACTATGTGTAAAAGAATTTTTTCTTCCATGTAGGAAGATGTCACCAGATACTTTGGTGAATTCTACAGTGCAGGGGAACAGAGTCTTGAATTCTAGGATGCAGCAAGACACGTGTCTAGAGCAAATGCTACAAATACCTCAGAAGGCTTTTTCAGTTTCAGCAGATGGACTTCGAGTTTGCTGCCTGGCAGATGCTCTTCCTGTTCACTTTTCTCCAAAGAATTTATAGAAACTTCCATTACTGGAAGCAGATAAAGGACCAGTGGGCCAGAGATGACACTGTTTTCTTGGTCCTATTAAGTATTTGACTCTATCTACTAAAATATTTGGTTTGGTGCTGGGCATTGGATTTTTTGAGACAATAAAGCTCCTATGGGTTGCATTCAAGGATCGTGTAGGTGTTGGTCTTCTGATATCAACTTTAATGTGTCATCTCTAATGAGTAGTGAAAGGACAGAGCAGAGACTATGATATGGAGTAGGACTACATCTTTGATGTGCATCTGAATGTTTTTTATCCACTCCTAGTCATAGTACATTTTGTCCAGCTTTTTTTATCAACCGTGTTTTCCTAACATGCAATTATTGAGTATTTAGTTGGAAATACCTGTGACTGATTGTATTTGGCTATTATATCTATATAAACTTCCTAGGTTATATGCATTACCTTATTCGAGAAATATAGTAATTCTTGTTTATCCATTTGCATACCTCATTCTACTCTATGGGTGGTCACTAGTGCTAGGATGGAACTTTATGCCCATGTTTTTTTTTTTTTTTTTTTTTTAATTGGGGGGAGTACTGTGGATTGAACTCAGAGGCACTCAACCCCTGGGACACATCCCCAGCCCTATTTTGCATTTTATTTAGAGACAGGGTCTCACTGAGTTGCGCCTTGCTGATGCTAAGGCTGGTTTTGAACTTGCGGTCCTCCTGCCTCGGCTTCCCAGGCCACTGAGATTACAGGCCTGTGCCACTGCGCCCGGCTTGTGTGTTTTTACACAGTGAAATGAAAAGAAAAAGAAACAATATTCTAGCTTAACTGCATCAATAGCATTGGGAAGTGACAATTTCTTGTAAAATTTGAAAATAAACTATATTTGTAGATTTTTAAAAATAAATAAATGCTTCACTTAGTTTTCTGACAGCCATAATAGGTACCCTTGTTTTTCTGCCAGGCACCAAACCGTTTCAGATCCTTGTCAGGCAATCTAAAGTCTGTGTATTCAACCACCATGCCATATTGTCTTTTAGGAATTTACCCAGAATGCAGCACAGAAAGATAAAAAGAAAATAAGAGGGATTAAGAGACATGAGAGATAGAATTAAAAGCTCTAATGGACATCCAATAGGAATTCCAGAAGGGGAGATGAAAGAAAACAGTAAAAAGATGGCTGAAAAAATTTCATAGTTGATGAAGATGATTCAAGACATCCAAATTTCAAGCAATGTGAATGCTAATTAATTCATAGGCAAACACAGTAGTAAAATTGCAGAATACTGAAGGCTGAACAAAAAGTATCTAGGGGAGTTTATTCCAGGAGCAGATTGGCAGGGAATGTGATCAATAGTGGGGAAATGAGATCTGTCATGTGCTGTGGATACAGCAGTGTGTAAGTGCAAGGAAATAGTGGGTGACTGGATAGACTGGGGACAGGAAATGCTAGCAGGTAGGTGCAGGTGATTGTGTTCAATTTTAGCATCCCATTAACAAGATTAAGCTCCTTCCAGGGCCTGGAGAGATCCTGGGCATTCTGTCTTTCAAATACAGCTCTCAAAATGTTAATAACTATTTGGGGCATGAATGGATGCATGATGAGAATTTCAGGAATAGAGGCCAATCTGGTGGGCCCACTTGGACTGCTGTGATTGGTCAGGGTGAACTGATAGATTTAGGAAAGGTATTTTTGATTGTGTCTGCAATAAAAATGTGATTTGATTTTCTGCTAAGAATCCCAAGCAGTGTGAAATAAAAATCAAACAACGCCTCACATCCTTTCTGGATATTTTTAGGTTGATTACAATAATAAAACCCGGAGCAAAGTTTCAGCAGCCTCTAGTCAGTGAAGTCTTGCTTGTCAAGGCAGATGTGTTTCAGCCACAGTTTTAAGAAGTGACAAGAAGTAATCTTGGCTTTTTGGTAGGATTTGATAGCTTAGAAGAAAACCAGACAATTAGAATGATCTATTCCTCATTCACACTGAAAAAGATACATGCTCTTATCTGCTAGTTTAGGCTTGGCTGCATAGGGTTTATCAGACCTTTCCACTCATACACCTTAGTCTACAGAGCCCTCCCTGAGGAAGTACTGCTCCCGAACAAAGTTCTTGCTTTTTTCACAATTGGATCACAAGTATGGGGAAGAAATGTGATGGGTGGAAAACACCTCTATTGTAAAAAAGGGCTGCAGATCCAACTTCATTCTTGTGGACTAATATTTTCAAGTTAAAATGCTATATATAGCCACAGATGACCTAGATTAGAAATAAAGGCCCATTTATAGAACAGGAACTTTAATAAATGTCCCAACTGATTCTTACCAGTAATCTTTGGAGGAAGAGGACACGTTAACACCATTTTCCATCATGAGGAAACCAAGGTTCAATGTTACATAACTAGCCAAAAATTCTCAACTATTTCATGTCCAATCTGTGTAGAACCAACACCCACCTGTCACCAAGGCCGTGCTCTTCATTGTATCACCTGCCCTTAATTATTGAGGATTGTTGCTGAACCAGTCTCCCAACTCAAATGAAAAATAATTTAATTCATGAAGTGGCCAAGAGTCAGGAGTGAGAGCTCTTGAACTTAAATCTGTCTTCCTGAGTTTAGGGTTATTTATGGGATGAAAAAACAATGAGGTGTGGGGAAAGGTGTTTGGAGGTAAGATATGTAAGGTAATTGGTGATCTGCACGTGCAAAAACAATCTTCATGGCTCTCTACAGGGTGCATGTTTAGAAAATGGTATGATGATGGAGATTTTGGTTCTCCGGCATCAAAAGGTCACCCATTGGACACTTTTGCAGGTTCAGGTTGGGGCCCCCTGGCTTCAACAAATGTGAGCCAGACAAGGCTTTCTCCAAATACCATTTTTTAAAAAGCAATTTAAACTAAGGTGACCATTCATCAGAGGTATTATCTATAGTAAAGCTAGCATCAGTCTATTCAGGTTTCCTATGAATGAGTTTCAGAAAAGAAAAATGTGCCCTTTGATTTTAATTTTAACTAGGAAGGGATTTTTTTTTTTTTTTTTTAAATTTCATTATGGGAAATTGGTTTCAGAGTGAGCCTCTCAACAGCCCAGCAAACAGGGCACCAATGAGAGTCAGGGGTACTCTGATTTGGCATAGTTTATTACAGTCAGTATGCACATGAAACTATGTAAACTCCAAAAAATGGTTTATCCTCCACAGTAACCAACAGAGAGTCTCCCTTTATCTTCCAGCACCCTTGCTACTTTATATACATTTCACAGAAAGTGATAACCATACAAAAGGGTTATAAATATGTTTTTTTTAGAGGAAAAAATTTTGGTTCATATTGTCCATTAAAAAATGAAACACTCTCCTCTTTGGCAAAAGAGGTTAAATCCCCACAGTTAATTCTACACAGCAAACTCAGATAAAAAAATCACTGAACATGAGGTATAGCTGAGATCTGGGCTACTCCAGAAATGTATTCACTTTGGGGTAAATTAAAGCTCTTTTTAGACAACCTCAGTCACTTTCATTGGAATACATTTCAAACAATTTTATTCGGTTTAGGGAACAATGGAAGTCACCAGCATGCACCTTTTATGAAGGTCATGAAAAGTGTGAGTTTCTGTCTTCAGCAATATTTTTAATCTGAGGTACAGAAACAACTGACAGTAATTCAAGCTGTAATTGCTGTGCCACCTCATTACAATTTGTGGAAAGAACAGTTTGGGTTGCTTATAAGTCTCAGCATTTGGCTTTGCAGTTTAAAAAGGCAGATTTGCATATGAAGGTTTCATAACATTTATGCAGTTCCTCAGAGTCCATTGCCTCCGGGCCTAGAGCAGCTGGAGTACCTGAGGGTCAGAGGATAATGGGCTTCTGTGGCAGGCCACTTCACATCTGCATCTGAAATGGAGCATAAGGAAACAAGCAGCTGTTGAGGTGGTGTATGTCTTATTCAGTCTACAATTATGATTCCAAACGAGGAACCACCCTGGTGTGGTTTTCATACTTCAAGTAATTCCATTTCTTCCAGGAGAAGAATGTTAAAAATGCTTTTAATTGTAGTTATCAAAGGAAAGGAAATGAGCCACAATAACAAGATCAAGTTTAAACAGACCTGCTGTTAACACAGTATCAGATAATCAAACTTTGAAAAAAGTGAACACATCCTACTACTATTTGTTTTTGCAACCGCTGCATTTTTCACTTAACCTCTGCACAGAACTAAAATCTGACAAAGCAAACTTAAGTTACTTTAATTCTTGTTAAATACAACTCTGTACAGATTGCACATTTTGCAAGAAAGCAGCTCAATATCACAGTTAGAGAAATGAAAATGCCATCAGAATTCCCCCCCCCCCCCCCCCATTTTTCTAGTCCAACAAAAACCAACAGGCTCTCGCCTAAGGGTTAGAACAAAACCGGCTGCAGAGTTTTGTAAACAGTATGAGAAGTTCTCTCTAGGATCCTATTGAGTCACGTGCACGCGCACACAACTTGAACAGCACTCTCCCATCTTCCAGTGACGCTCAGTACCACAGCAGGTTTCTTTCACATTGTGTTCACAGAACAGCCGTCACGGCTGTCTGGTTGAGGGGGGTGAGGCAGTCTCTGGGGGCTGAATAACCATCATTCACCCCGAGATTCGTCTCTGGCTTCTGAGAGGCGGAGTTTCTGTTCTCTGCAGCGAAGCTGCTGCTGGCTTTGGGCTTGTCGTAGCCCCTGTCCGCAGGCTTGGGGCTTTGTGGCAACTGATAGTCTCCGCTCTTGGTGGCCCCTGCCTCAGGGGAGAAGCTGCCGGAAGAAAGGGAATGTTTGTGAGCCGGCCTGGGCCCAGGAACGTGGTAGCCACTCTGGGCCGAGAAGGTGTGGGCCCGCGGCAGGTGCCGCTCCACGATGGGCGTGGCGTACTCGGGCTCCGCATGGGTCAAGGGCAGCGCGTACTCGTGGCAGCCAGCGCGCTGGGGGCAGTCGTAGTGGCTGCTGGCCTCGGCGCCCGTCCCGGCCTCGTCGGCGTCAGTGTCTATGGGCCGGAAGGTGGAGCCCTTCCTGGCGACTGTCCCTGTTCCAATCATGAGAGGCTGCTGGTAATCTGAAACCAAGCGAATAAAAGGCACAGAGTTTGTGCACGATGTAGGTACAAGGACAAGCCAGCTGCCTGTCGCTTGGGGATGCTCTGCTTTCCCCTCCACTCAACTCTTCACTGAGTGCCTACCTAATGTGTCCCAGGCTCTGTGGGAAAGACCACAAGCGAGTCATAGATAACAAGCAGGGACTCTACAACCACACTGCCTGCTTCAGGAAGCCTCAAAGGGCCATAGCAATCTAGGGAATGGAGACAGTAAGTTGCACCTGAGGTAGAGGGAAAATAAGCTGCTTCTCGAGATGCTCAATTTTAGAGAGGTGGAGATAACCCTGAAGAAAAAGAGAACAACCATGAAAAGAGAGTTTGATATGGCCAAGAATGAGGGATGCTGATTAGTTTGTTTAATGGAAATGAAGAACAAAGCTGGTCCAGAGCTAATGATGATGGTGAGAATAATGAAAGAGATCACATTTGTTGAGCCTAACTGTGCCAGGCACTATTCTAAGATAGCAAGATATTCACAACGTAATCTTTAAAAATAATCCTCTGGTAGGAATTATTACTTTGTTTTACAAGTAAGAAAACAGAGCAAGACTATGTTAACTTTTCCCAGATCACTTGGCTAGCATGATTCAAACCCACATTACAAGTGCTTGCTGTTAACCATCTGTTAGATCTTGGGATGTGCCTTGATAGGAAGTTTGGTTTAATTCTGTAGAAACCTACACACCGACACAATTAGAAGTAACTCTGAAGGCAGACTGAAGAAGAAAAGATAAAAAAATGAGAAGTAGCAAAGAGAGATGACACATAGATGGCTTCTTAGGAACACTGTCCCTAACACTGGAAGAGTTCCTCCATATAGCTCCTGGTGGAGGGCAGGAGCTGTATTTAATTCATCTTTCTAGTCCCTCTTTTCCAGTGTCTTAGTCAAAACCTTGGTAACAAAAGTAGATTAAGGCCTTTCCTTACTAATGTTACTTTGGGCCATCACAATGAATCTCATTATGTGACCCACAGGCGTAAGAGACTCAGCTGAGTGGAGCTGCTGGGTATATTTTGGTGTTGGTTTAAACCGTACAGAGTGCAGGAAAAAAATAACATATTTCCACTTTTTTAAAGGATTTTAAAGGATTATTTCCATCCTGTCTCCCCTTCCTGCTGGGCAGCAGCTATCTGCTAGCATTGTCCTGGAGGTGTGACACTTACCTGCCATATCACTTGTGATGAGATCTAACTTTTGTGTCATCTCCTTCTCATTGTCATAGGTGATGGTAAACTCAGCTGATTGATGTCTGGCAAAGGGATATTTAATCTGCTTCCAACAACCTGAAATAAAGATCATGTGAAGCAAACTGATGTCAGAAATGTAATCCATGTACTCTAAAATGTGTTCCTTAATGAATCAGAGGTCAGGCTGTGGCTTGGTGACTGACAGTGACAAATGCACAGCCAGAATGCCTCAGGTACTAATGATGAGAATAACATACTAAGGCCAATACTCGATGACAATAGAAAACACTACTACAAGGATGTTTCCACTGGTTTTAAAAGTGTTTTTGTACTGATTGTGTCCCAGATTATCCCTGTGTGAACCATCTGGACATGGTTCTCTGTCATCCACACTAACACAGCACTCATGACCCAGAAGGGACAGCACAGCTGGCATTCAGACTCAGCATCTTCAGGCCTTCACTGTATTTTCTGGTAAAATGAGGAAAGGACCAGATAGGGATCAGGTGCAGGTTTCAGAGTACCCTTAGGACACATATTGCCCAAGCAATGAATTAGCTGGGGTCCAGAGAGAGACCTGAAGATGCTTAGAGTGCTGGACTACCTAAATGATGGGGCTGTTGTAACTTCTCCTTCATGACAGTGTAGTGACTTCAACTCCATGGCAAAAAAAAAAAAAAAAGCTTATGAATGATAGGGATAATATTGAACATATAAGTGGCCATGAAAATTCTGAATTAAAATACAGAGGCAAGCAAGTCCCACATGATGGTGCACGCTTGTAAAATCTCAGCTACTCGGGAGGCTAAAGCAGGAGGTTTGTAAGTTCCAGACCTGCCTGGGAAACTTAGCAAGACCCTGTCTCAAAACATACAGAAAGAGACTACACACAATAAAATTTCTACTTTGCATAAATTTAATTACCCTGTTAATTTAAAGGTTACTAGAGCTTAATAAAAAAAAATAGTTTCCCCCATCCATAGTTTTGTTTTCCAAAAAAAGGACCCCAGTCAACATGAAACAAAAATATTAAATGGAAAATTCCAGAAAAAAATTACAAGTTTTAAATTCTATGCTGTTCTGAGAAGCATGATGAAATCTTGCACTGTTCCTGCCGAGGCTATGATTCATCACTTGTGTAGAATATCCACTGTGTATATGCTACCCACTACCTTCCCTTTAGCCACTTAATAGCAGTCACAGTGATCAGATTGACTGTTGCAGTATCACAATGCTTGTGTGAACCTTATTTACTTAATAATGGCTCCCAAATGCAAACACTGTGATACTAGCAATTTTATTTCTGTATTTTATTATAGTTGCTCTTTTTTATTGTTAGTTATTATTATCGATTTCTTACTAACCTAATGTATAAATTAAATTTTATTATAGGTATGCATATGTAGAGAAAAACATAGTATGTATAAAGCTCAGCACTATCCATAATTTCTGGCATTCACTGAGAGTCCCCCACAGATAAAGGGGGACTGTGGTATAATTATGAGCCACTGGGCTCCTTATGTTTTCAATCAGCAAATCCTGTTACTTCCTCAAAGACAGAATAAAATTGCAGATGAAGAACAGATTTAACCAACCTGTTTTCTGGGCCTCAGCTGATATATATGGATTTCCTTTCTTCTTCCTCCTGTCAAGACAAAAAATCCTATTTAATAATTAAAAGCAAATATATCTACCTCTGTCTCCTTGCATAACATAAGGTTCATAATAGTAGTTACCTCATAGAGCTGATGTGAGGATTAAATGAGAGAGCAGCTGCCATGTGCTCACAAAGTCATATGAAAACAGGGTTATATATAAATTTATCTCACTTATAATAATGGTCACAATATTTTCACTAAAGGATGTGTACTATTTTTTTGTATATCAGAAAGTAATGCCTTATTATTTCTATTTTCACATTAGCTCATACAGTCCATAAATCCTGAAGAAATTCCTCATGACCATGTGCTCTCACTTCATCTCTGTTTTCTACACTAAAGTACAAAATTGTTGGTGTCTTGAAAAGAATTTAACTCAAACATGTTAAGCTAAGAGTCACAAATATCTTTCTGAAGCTTAGAATTCTATGCCCTTGCTCATGTTAGTAAAATTCTTCATTCTGTTTGCACTATTATACACATTGATACATTCTGAAGCTGTTTAAAAGGTAGAAAGAAGACTTCAGAATGATTTTCATTTAAAAAAATCTAACTCCTGAAATATGTTATAATAAATATGGAATAAGCTCCTTTATTTTATACATGAGAAAATTGGGGCTTGGAGAGACTGGGATGGGATCATAACATGGGCCTCCTTATTTCCATTTAATAAATCTTCCAACTGTACAGATGGGAGAGAGGACACCTCAAAAGGAATGTGTCAGTGCCCAGACTCTCCTCAACAGTGCTCACTGGTTAAGCCTTTATCAAAGGACAATACTGCCTTTCATAAGACATCAGAATTTTTACTTCTATCTAACTTGTTTTTAAAATACAGATTATTATTTTATCTTGAAAGCAGTCATGCTGCTTTCTACATATGAATATCCAAAAAGTAAACATTTTGGGTTTATAATTGCTTACATAATTAGAGGAGAAATCTAAAAATGTAAAGTCACATACTTTCTAAGGGCGGCAAAGACCCCCATTCCAGCCAGCAGAAGGGCGACAAGTAGCACCAATGGAATCGCCACAGTTGTAATGTTTATTCCTAGAGAAGGGGAAAGCCACCATGTTACAACATAAAGGACCAGTAAGGGGAATAGTTAACTAAATAATGGTATATCCATTGAAAAAAATACCATAAAGATATTAATAATTGTTTTTTAACTATGTAATAACATTAGAAGAGTCTCATGATATGTCAAATGAAAATATATGCAACAAAACAGAATGTATGACATGCTACTATTTTGTAGTAAAAAATATAAATACAGTTGACTTAATACAATGGAATATGGTAATTATCTATAGATGCTGATTTATGGTTCACCTTTAGCTTCTTATTTATATTTTTCTAATCATTCCAAATTTTCTAATGTTGATATACAAATTATATTCTGGGGAAAATAAAGCACTTTCAATGTACATTACTTGAATATACAATTACATGTTCAAAATTCAAAAAGTATGAGAAGGTATGGGGAACAAAATGACTTCTCTCTCCCTCTCTGTTCCTCTTCTATTAGAATCCAAATTGTGTTTTTTGACATTCTTCTAAAGATATGGGAATGAATACATGTATTCATTCTTTATTCCCCCTTTTATACAAATGACCATATAGATTGTTCCATAACTTATGTAAGTTGCCAGTGTATCTCAGACAACTTTCCATATTACTAACACATTCTTTTTTATGGCTGCAGAGTATTCCATTATACAGATTTGCTAGTATAGTTTTCCATAAAATATGACCTGACTGTTTAAAGGACAAACAAGTTTTTCTACTCCCAAGATTACATCAAATAGTTGTAAACAGAGAGATATCATTTTACATACGTGCAAATACCATTGGACTATCTTCTCCAGCATTTATATGATAGAAAAATAAATTCTGTTAAAACTATTATGCTAAATCTTGTGGGGTACCAGTTACAACACTCTTTATGAAACCATGAAACCGTAGCTTCTCTACCTGTGGGCATGTCTTCTGAGGGAATGGGCTTTGTGATTGTCTTGTCATCTCTCTCGGTTGAAACATCAGTGTTTGAAATTGTTTTGTGCCACACCAGTGAGTCATTCTCTGGGAAAGAAGGGTGTTGGAGAAACCACATGAGTAACAATGATGTGTGAAGGGGATGACAAGAATCTAACTCACTGACTCGTCATGAGTCCTACCACCATAGATTTTCTTGTCTAACCTAAATTGACCCTGATTTCAACACACTGTAGTGTCATAGGACCTTAACTCTTCTTGGACAGGTAGCAGACAATGTGGGATGTAGCAAATAAAGGCCAGATTCCTCTTTTGGGGCAAAGACACATTCATATTGTTTTCCTTAAAATAATTTATTTTATGCTGAGGGAGAATATTTATGTGGATTATATTTCATGATGGGTGAACTAAAAAGTTTATTTTATATACTCATGTTCAATCACCTTATTCAAGATAAGCCAGATTTAAATATAATCTTTAAAAGCTTCTCTTCTTAAAACTGAACATAAAGGAATTATCTGAATAAAATCAATGTCATTCTGTTTTTCCTTCTTTCTGACAGAAGTTTGAGAGATGTTAGCTCGTGAAGAAAAACCTTTTTCTATTTAATGCTAAGGGGACTTACTGTCTTGCATATTTTTAAGTCACAGAAAATTTGGTGCTATGTGACCTGTGGAAAAAAGAAAATGCTTTAAACTATATGATCTTGTGGGGTTTGTAGGAATAAACTATCACTGGAGAAATTTTAAATGATCAAATTCTTAAGGAAACCGTGATCCTTACCAGTGGAGGTAAACAGAAATCGCTTTTCTGACAGGGAACCACTGAAAGAATAAAGACAGATATGAGGAGTGAGTGGCTTCATAGATCTGAGTGACCCATACAGGGCCTAGTCCCAGGGCTCACAGAGCCTTCCCACAGATGCTGCCTCGGTAATCTCTGCGACACCCTGTGGGGCCCACTGCTGTTATCTTCATCATCGTATTTTATGGATCAGGAAACTCAGGCCTATGGAGCTGAGACACTTTCAAAAATTCATGCAGGTGACAAAAACCAGGATTCTGAGACATTGCTTTTGAGTCAAAATCCTGTACTGTTTCCCTCATGCCACATTAACAAATGGCCTTCCTAATAGAGAAGGAATGTACAGAAATATAGTCTCAAAAACAATCATAAAAATGGGAGTTCATAACCCACTTGAATCAAAGTGTGAAATATGATATATCAAGAAATTTGTAATGTTTTGAACAACCAACAATAAAAAATTTAAAAAAAAAAGAAAAAAAAAACAATCATAAATCCCAATTAATACACGGTGACAGAGACAGAAAGGACTACTCCCCTGAAATCTCTCTTTGCTTCAGCAATCACCTTAAAAGCCTCATACTCATTGTCAACAATCAAGGACCATGGAAAGAAATGAAGAAGACCAGTCATTTTTATAAGAACGAGCAGGGCATGTACAGCCGCCCTTTCTACAGACTGCTCTACTGTTTCCCTAAGGAGCACTGCTCTGGGGACTGATGGCCTCAGCCCTATCTCCCTTTCCACAACCACACTTCTACCTACTCTGGCAACCAGCACCAAGCCACGAACTATGTCCTGCTTCTGCACAAAAAGGCAGAAAAGCTGGAGAGAACTCACGACATCTGAGTGACTTGGCTGGAGCACTCCTCCTGCTACCAGACACTCTTCCTGCCCTCCTGACACCCATCCTCTGGCCTTTTGGCCCCTGTAGCTCTCCAGCTTATATTACCCGTATAGGAGAGCTTACCAAATCAGCCTAGTTCTATGGTTGTCTCCTTCAGTGAAGAGATGCTAAAGCCCAAGACCATCTCTACCTTAAAACAAACAAACAAAAATCCTCAGCAAGTCAGTGATGTGAAAACTACATAGAATGAATAGAAATTCTGGAATCCTCAGTGTTACTCTCTTGTGTAGTACTTACTATACTAGATACTGGAAATAAACCTAAAAAGTAATACACCGTGGCTGCGTTCAATTATTTCACATTCTGAGAATATTTCTTACAATTCTGCTTAATTCTGAATTATATACTTTATGGGAATAATGGAGGGAGGGAGGGAGGGATGGAGGGAGGGAGGGAGGGAGGGAGAGAGAGAGAGAGAGAGAGAGAAGGGAGGGAGAGAAGGGAAGGGAGGGGAGGGGAGGGAAGGGAAGGGAAGGGGAGGGGAGGAGAGACAAGAACGAAAACATAAAACCCATAAAGAATCCAAAATAATCTGTTTAAGAATGTAAGGACCAAAGTAAGGACCTTCCCATCAAAGGCTCTCTTGAGAAGTGTCAGGTAACAAGGCTCTGTAATAGATTTTCTCCTTCACATTCTTCGTCTACTCTTAAGAACAGCCTCCACAAATCCTGGACTTCCACATAAAGGTTCTATTATAATCTCTGCACTGAATATAATGCAGGTGCCAATCATCTCTCCTGTGAGAAAACTTAGACCATATGGGCCATGAGACCTGCCTACATTCAGCATTAACGACGATGCTGGGACCAAGACCTAGCTCTCATCACACTTAAAAGAAGGTGCACATTGTTGCAAATAAATTTAAAATTTTTGAGAATCCCTTTTCTCTGATTTTCCCATTTTCTCTAATGTTCCTGTACTGAGTCTTACACTTGAAATTTGGCCCAGGTAAGCCTGAACATACTGCTGTGACCATGAAAGCCTATGTTCTCTCCCACTGCAATGAAAGAGTAAAATGTTTATTTTTACTTCTTGATGACCAAAGAGAATGCATGTGGATAGAGGGATAACTTTGGCATGAGAGAAGAAGACAGCAGGCAAGGCTCTGCTCCTAACAGGTCTGTCAAGCTTTCTTCCTGTTTCAGCTGTAATATCTTTTTCTCTTTTGTTCTACTGAAGTAGCCAAAAGTGACTACCTAGAGAATGCTATAGGTAACTAAGCCTTCTTTCTCTTTGAAAAAAGAAAACAGCCCTGGGGAGTGGGAGGCGGTTCAGAGGTTCTGGCACACTGGGGTGAATGAATTCAGATTATAGGAATGAGGAGACTCCCAGAGGCTACAAGAAGCAAGCAAGAATAATCTGATGTAAACACAAAGAAAGGCTTTCCCTGCGGATGGCCAGAGCCCTCATCCTCTGTATGAGGTCAGTCCCTCTTCCTGATTCCATTCTGGTCTCCTCGGATCAAGGAAATGGCCTGACCCGGGGATGAATCCCAGAACCCTGGATATTTACTTAAGGGACTCCTTCTTCCTCAGCTGCAGTGCTTCCTTCTCTGTTTTTTCCTGAACGCCAAACAATCATGTGTGGGAACAGAAGTTCAATGACCGCATGTACAGTGGCTTCCCAACAGCAAAACAACACGGATAAAAACAACTGTTCCCTGAAGATTTGGGAGTCCAAGTGAGTGGAAGTGACTGTATTAACATACAGTTTACTCGTGACTCAGAGCAAAAGTCACAGAACTAGAAGGAAGAAGAGACCTTGATATAATTCTGGGCTATGAAATCCCACCAAAATAAAAATCAGACAATTATTTTAAATAACTATGTGCAATATAGAGCAAACCTTTTTCCAGTTCTTTAATGGTTTAAATTTATGTGGTGTTTTTTTTTGGGGGGGGGCATGGACATTTAATTTCAAATTACATAAAAGTTATCTACATGTATTAAGTCCAATTGATACAGAAATCATAGAAAGAGTGAAGGCTAGTTTTTTATCTAATAATTTTTTTTTGTGGGGGACAGGGACCAGGGATTGAACTCAGGGGTACTTGACACTTAGCCACATCCTCAGCCCTATTTTATATTTTATTTAGAGACAGGGTCTCACTGAGTTGCTTAGCATTTCGCTTTTTGCTGAGGCTGGCTTTGAATTTGCTATCCTCTTGTCTCAGCCTCCCAAGCCAGTGGGATTATAGGCATGCGCCACCACACCTAGCTCCAATAATTTTAATAACTTTTCTTCAAACATAAAATAAAATCTAAGCAGTATGAGTTAACCTTTACCTTTTTTTTTTTTTTAAACAAAAGAAGCATCTGATTGTATACAAACATAGGCAAGAGATTTGAATCCAAACACCAAGTCTTCATTCCTATTTGGAGACAGCAGTACCCAATAGATCTACCCTGGGGCCTCATATCTTCCTGCAATAGCATACTAGTGTCAATAGAAGAAACCATCAAAAGACTAAAAAGAGAGAAATTCTCAGAAGTCATGATCAAGTGGACGAAAAGACTCACAGTGCATAAGCAATCACTTTTACTATAAATCAAGGTCTAAATGTTCCAAAAGTTTGGAAACTCACTTAAGTTTTTACATATGTGAAAAAAAAAATGTGTGTGTGTGTGTGTGTGTGTGTGTGTGATTTTATTTATTTGAATGAAGATTTTAATTTTCTAAAGGCATCCTGTTACTAAGCTGTTATATCTTCAACTTTGGCACAAATTTAAAGACTAATTTATCTCTGATTGTTCAGATAGTATGGAAAGAAGACTTTGTGGCCTTTCATAACTAGAAATCCTATCCAGAAGAGGAAAGTAAATAGAAAGTTGTATAGGTAGAAAACACCCCCATTGGGGGGCGGGGTAACTCTGCATGTCCAATGTGTAACACATTCCCTGTCCTTAAGGTATGACAACCTTTGTGGATTACACCAGTAGAGCTGATGAATGAGTTAGATTGGATCACACTTGCAGGTTATGCCCACTCCTAAACCAGACTGGGAGTTGCCAGAGTTCTGCTGTTTCTCCTTGGTCACCCATCAGCCTCCTGCTGGCCAGGAGCATGAGGACAACACAAATCCCCTCTGGCGTCCCTCCTCAGACCTTGACTCTATCAGGGTATTCTTCCTAGGCCTTGTTCCTGCCTCACATCAAACCCAAGGCTCACCCCCTTCATGATAGTGACCTAATCAACTTCCAAACCCCTCTCCTATGAGCCTGGGCCAACATCCCATCTTGAAATCGGTTTTAGTCCCAAAATTTACTTGTGACTTCATTATGTCTCTTTTTGGAATTTAGAATACATTTTAGTATAAAAACATTTATCACCTATGGTCAGGATCACTATTTGACTCATGACATTGCTATGTTGTAATACATTAAAAAAAAAAAGTAGACAAGAGGAAAATTGTGTAATATTCTCGCCATATTCAATGCTTACTTGGGAACCTAGTTACCACCCATAAGGTGATTTTTACCCGAGGGGCCAGACAGTGAGGTTGGAGATCTTTACACCGCCTGGTGACTGGCAGGAAGACAAGGTTCCTGTAAGCAGCATCTGCCATAGACATGCTGGGACTCACTAAGTTGCTGGCTTTAAGGAAGAGCAGCCACAGGCATACTTAGTCATGTCTGGACGCAACTGATAAGGACCATCATCTAGAGACAGACAGAACAACGCTGGAGCGTAATAACAATGAGCACTTGGAACTGTATATAAACTTGGAACTGTATATAAACCTCCTGTACTGAGACATCAGAGAGATTTGCTTCAAGGACTTGGGTGAGACTGGCTGCCTTGCTCCCTGGACTGACTTCACCATTCCCTGATGTCCAACTGTCGGCTGGAGAGAACTAGCTGGCAATGACATTTAATCTTCGGCTAGTGGCATCGGAGGTAGTTTGGGGCTTGTGGTTGCTCTGGGATTTTATGTTGTGTTTGCTGTGTTTAATTACTGTCAATTGAGTTAACTGCTTTTGACAATTAGTGGGATCATATATACGCTTGCATTCAAAGACAATCCGCCTCCAAGTAATTATTAAAGCACTGCTCATGACACTGACTTATTTTTTCCCACTTTTGGATCCCCAAATGCCTATACTCTCTGTCTTGTGCCTTATCACTGGGACTAAAACTATGTAGAAACCTGTCCAAAAAGACAGAGCTGAAGTACAAAAAGACATTTCCAGGAGCACATGGAGAGTGAGGAAATGAAAGAGAAATCTGGGGGCTCCCTCACTAGTTATCGGTCCTAGAAGAACCTCCTTCTCCACCATTCCAAGCTGCCTTTTCGCATATGCAGACATCTGCAGCACAAAGCAAGCCTACAGTGGGTTCCACACAGCTCTTGTGTTCTATGTCTGGACTCCCAGGAAATCTGAAAGTATGCAGCACGTAGGTTAAAATGTTTAAAGCAACTGACATACTGTTTCCTTATGAAGTAAAAGGAGAAGATAACACCAAGTCAAGATCCTAACAACATTAACAAAAGTCATTTTTTTTAACTTCCTTTTCTTCACTACTACTCATCATTAAGAGACTATCTCTAGGAAACTTCTGGGAATCTCAGTGGTTCTATAAGGGTTTATTTCAGTTTCCTGTCCCCTTCAGTATCTTAAGTAAAATCATAGATAGCTAGTAATTTACTGAAACTATAAAATCAAAAAAAGAATAAGCCTTTATTCTCTCCCACTAAAGCACCTGAGAGTAGAAATACTCCTCTACTATGAGGCTTCAGATGTGGGCCATTTTAATTTACATGTCAGCCTAATGAGTGGGCTTTTTTATTACTACATTTATCTTTCACACAGAGACTGTAAATGCTGCTTAAGCACTCACACTTATTTATCCCAGCTGGCAAATGCTTGGTATCACATCCCTGCTGCCCTTTCAAAGCTGTGAGCTGATTAATTATGGCCTCAGTACTAGTTTCCTCTTAGAACAAAAAGTAAAGTACTTACATCCTTGAGAGCACACCATTGGCCAGGATGCCTTCATAGCGGCTTATCCCTTTGCGCAGAAGCACACTGATCCGGCCACCCAGTTCATCTGCAATTATTCCTGCGTGGATAGCAGCTTTACACAATAAAGAGGTCTGAAACACAGCAGAATCATTGTTCAGAGCTTACCGAAGAACACACTTAAGATTTGATTGGAGCTTTCCATTTTTATTATGTGGTAATTTACAATAATGCCCTTCCCTCCACAAAGAATAATGCATTCTGGTGGCCATGGCTTTATGCAGTCAATTCCCACAAGCACTCTGAACTGGCTCCTGGAGTTTGCTTTGTTCTGGGGCAAATTGTGTGGATCTGCCAACCTACACATGTGAAGAAAGTCACCTTTGGTCTCTAAAGCTCCAGTTGATCTGCCACATGAGCAATTCCAATGCTAAGGGAGATAAAGAATGATCTACCCAAACACTAGCAAACTTGCAAACTCATCTGCAAATAAAATGGTGGTTATTTCAAGCTACTAAGTTTTGAGGTGACTTGCTATGCATAAAAAGATAAAGAAGTCGGGCGCACGAGTAATCCCAAGAGCTCAGGAGGCTAAGAAAGAAGGATCACAAGTTCAAAGCCAACCTCAGCAAGAGCGAGGTGCTAATAAACAACTCAGCGAGACCCTGTCTCTAAATAAACTACAAAATAGGGCTGGAGATGTGGCTCAGTGGTCCAGTGCCCGAGTTCAATCCCCAGTACCAATAAAAATAAAAATTAAAAAAAGATAATGGACCTGACTTAGACCTGGTTTGCCAGAAACACATACTAGGTGTTGAGAAGGTGAACTCTCCATACCAGAATCTCATTTATTAATTTAGAGATTCAGCAAGGCTTCAAAACCATAATAGTAGCAACAGCCAAAGAACACAAAATGGAACAGAAAATTCAATGTGGGTCTTGGAGAAATGATGAAAACATCACAGTCCACAGCCTTATCTGATTTTCTGAATGCCTTCAGAGAAAGTCAGCCAGCAGGTGCCTGCCCAGCCCTGCCTTCGGCAGGCTGCATGATGTTGTGGCAAACTGAAGCAGGAACAACTCACTGGCTCTGGTTGATACACAGTGATGGGATTTGGAATTGGGTCTTTTGGAAAATGGGTCTTCAGCCTGACTAGAACTTTCCTGTGGGGCGCCCAGGTTCTGAACACAGACCTATGTGGGAAAGTAATATGGCAGACAGGCCCAGGATTGAAGAGCTGAGACAATCATTTTCTAAATAAACTTCAGCTATGTTCCACTTTCCCCTGATAGCTAATGCCCAAAGAGAGAATAGCAGCTCATGAAATTATGAATATCAATAACTGACCTTAGGAGTTACTCTGTGGTAAGGAGTGCTATTTACCTTCCTTGTAATAGAAAATTTCCCTTAAATCTAAGGAATTTAAGTTACATATTAGCAGGACCAATGAGACAAGTCACATTTTGTAAGTATAAAAAATAAATAAATTTGAGAACTTTTGTAGTCTTCAATTTAGACACTTCATATTTTCTAAACTAGACTAGATTTGCATAGAAAGTCAGTTTTGCACTAACTGCTATCATAGCCAAAGAGAGGGAAGACTTCATGACAGAAAAGAAAACGAGAATGCTGAGACCCAGAGGCAGATGTTTCCTGACTGGGGGGGTGGGGTAGGGCAGATTTCATTTTTTTTTTTTTCTGAATTTGCTTTCATTTAAAAGAAAATATCCTATCACTGGCTTAGATTCTTAGGGTATAAAATGGAGAAGCCAGTTGTAAAAAAATAAATAAATAAATAAAATAAAGTGCTGAATTTAAATTTAGCAATTGAGTTTGTCATCTGGTTCTGACTCTAACCCCACTAGATAAACTGAGTCATTTTTATGCTCTTGACCCGGCTTCCCAACTCATCTGGGCTATGAAAAGGACTAGATCTTATCTAGTGTCTATTCTGAGGTCCTGTCACCCTGTGATTCTTAAGAGTACCCAGTGTACTTTTTGTAAGGTCCATATATGTCTGCTTCTCTAAAGAATAAAAAGCAAATCAGACCACCAGTCTGTTGAGCAGCTATTTCGACCATCCTTAGGATCATGTTTTCCTCAGAATTCTGCCTCAGGATGGGTGGGTCTTTATCCCAAGAACCCTGCCCTATGCAGAGCTCTCACTGGTTACAAGAGTGCAGATTCACAGGTCAACAAGCAGCAGAACCTCCCATCATCTTTGTCCAACAGATATTCTCATTTCCTACAATACCCACTACTGAAGAAATCCAAAGGCTTATGCCCTTCGTATGGAATTTATCTAATTGCAACTTTTATTTTTCCCCTGATATTTAATGTAGGCCATAGGATAAATCTCCAAGAGAAGAGCCACCAGATCTGCCTGTCATATCACTGTAAAATTACCAGCCTTTTCCATGATTATTTCCTTTAAAAAATAGTTCACCGGGCTGGAAACATATAGTTCAATGGTAGGGTGCTTGTCTAGCATGTGTGAAGCACTAGTTTGATACCCAGTACTGCCAAAAAAAAAAAAAAAAAATCATTCCCTTGCCCATCCAACTTAAACAAAATTGATTGATGTCTATTTTAGTGTATCTTTTTGGCATCAATTTTAAAAATTCACCTTCATTGAATCTGATTTCTTAAAAAAATTCCCTTTTGAGTAGAGTTATAATTTATACTGTGATTATCTAGCTACATTTGGAGTCTTAACTCTCACTCAAATGTAAATATAGGAGAGCTATATCATTGGCCTGTGTTAATTATTGATTTACTTTAAACAATATTTATTAACCCAAATGAAGTAATTTAAGTATAATAATTCCTCAGAAATGGGAGGAGAACACCTGCAGTTGAAGATAGACCACTTCATCTACACTAAACATTTTTGAAGCTCACTAAGCCACAAAAGATTGTCAAACAGATTAGCATGAGATAAGAGTAAAGCAATTGTCAAATCACACCATAATTGAAGCATTTTCTTAAGTCTTTCCTTAGGAAAATCCAACTTGTTTTAAAAAAGTATTGATAGGGCTGCATGCGGTGGCACATGCCTGTAATCCCAGGGACTTGGAAGGATGAGGCAGGAGGATACCAAGTTCAAAGCTAGCCTTAGCAACTTAGTGAGGCCCTGTCTCAAAATAAAAATTAAAATGAGCTGGACATGGCTCAGTGGTTAAACAACCCTGGATTTAATCCCAGGTACCAAAAAAAAAAAAAAAAAAAGTATGGACAATGCATTAAAAAGAATTGAATATAAAAGTCAACATTTTAGATTGTGTTTAATAAGCATGAACCAAAAACAGTAAGTTGGAATAAAGAACAGACTTCAAAATGTTGGTGGAATGATGGTAAATTATAAATATATTCTAGGGCTGGGGATGTAGATGCCTGTTCTAGTATGTGTGAGGCCCTTGGTTGGATCTCCAGCACTGGGAGGGGGAGGTTAAAAAATATATATATACACACATACATAAACATAAATTTGTATACATAATAATTATAATAATATAAGCACACACATAATTATATCAATACCTTCATAATTATTATATCAATATTTTCTTTTCTTTTTGAGAGAGAGAGAGAGAGAATTTTTAATATTTATTTTTTAGTTTTCGGCGGACACAACATCATTATTTGTATGTGGTGCTGAGGATCTAACCTAGGCCGCACGCATGCCAGGCAAGCACGCTACCACTTAAGCCACATCCCCAGCCCATATCAATATTTTCTTTATGAAAGAAACACATTATTATAGAAATGTTGGAAAATATAAAAAACAATAAAATCATTATCACTCAGAGATAATCATTCACAATACACTGTATCTCCCTGAGTCCCTGAGACTTTCCATGAGTGTATACATGAGGCCTGGTTTCTTTTCTTTCCCACTTGAACTAGGAACACACTATATGGACTTTATTTTATATTACTTCTTGATTGTTTTTTGAGAGGGAGCATTACCAAGATGAACTAACTAAGCAATGTTTTCCACTTAAAAGCAGTAGGTACAATCAGCAGGCTTACAGGTGCCAAGAGAAAGACTGTTCTGGAAGCAGGTAAGCAGGTCTTAAAGAGAAACCCACACTGCTTGCCTTGCTGACATTGGAAGCAGACACCAATGCAGATGCCTGAATTCTAAGGAGATAGAATCCAGAAAAAGACCATTTAAAGTTGTCATTTCTTTCCTCCCGACAGATCATCCCCCATCTCCACACCATTGTATCCCTCTGCACCAAACTATGGCCAACAAATTTTTGCAATGTCTACATGAGTTTTTCCAGCCATCCTTATCCCATTTTGCATTGTTCAATTATTTATTACATGCACCTGAAATTGGTCTCCCTATAACTTTTATCCACTGATTCTAGTTTTGCCATTTGGATCCACATAGAATGAAACAATGTCTTTGCTATAACAGTTCTTTAAAACAACATATTCTCTCCTGAAATATAGCACCTGCTTCTTCAGTGGCTCCTCTAGTGTTTTGCTTCACAGATTCTGTCATCCTAACATAGGACATGCTTTGGTTTTGCAAAGGCTCTTCCAAGAAAGACTTGTTACAACTGAACACATTTCCCAAGATTAAGATGCCATCTGGAGCAAACTCTAAGACAATGCCTATGATCCCTGCCTCCAGATACCCGCCTTGTAGAATAACCCTAGTCTGTGGCTGGAGTTGTGACATTCTTTTAATTCATAACATATGGCAAAGGAGGGGGATACCATCCCTGTGAAAGTATTACATAAGACTGTAATCTATTTTACTAGGAGACTCTTTTACTAGAAAATTTTCCTGTAGTGGCTTTGAGGAAGCAAATGGCCATGGTGGGAAGGCCCACATGATACCAGCTGAGGACAGCTTAGCCCCAGTCCATGAAGAAACTAAGGCAACAAATCCCAAGTAACCAAATGCTGCAAACACCATGTAAACTTTGAAAGCACATCTATGTCTAGCTGAGCCTGGGAAGACCTGAGCCCTGGCTGACACCTTGGGTGAACCCTTGTGAGATCCTAAAGTAGAAAGCCAGTGAAGCCACACCCAGATTCCTAACCCACAGAAAATGAGAGATAATAAATACATGTTGTTTTAAGCCTTAAATTTATGGTAATATTGTTATGCTACAATAAATATCTAATATTACCACAATATAGACATATACAAAAAAGATACTAGTCAACTTTTCTTTAAATTGATTAGCTTTCAAAATACAAATTTTCCCTTTAGATAAAAATCATTCTGAAAGCAAATGGTGCCAAATCAGTTAGTAAGTCAATGGGAAATCTATTTGCCAGCACTTGCAGATCAAGTACAAGATCCTCCATGTAGGAAACCATTTACCTGTGTCACTGAAAAAGATAGCTGTCAAGAGGCAGCAAGATTAACACCCAGGAGAAGAAAAACCTATGCTCTTTCTCTTATTGTACATAATTCTTAATGCTTCTTATACAAAACAGTAAAACAGAAAATAAAATTTTCTATTGTTAGGGAAAAAAACCCTGTACTTCAACATTTTAATTCTTTGAGCTTATTTCCTGGGATCATTTGTGCCAAGTAAATCTTCAAACTTAAGAAGTATAAATCATTTTGAGATTAAAATAATTTACATGTCAACTGAATATCCTGTATCAAACTTATAATTAAAAGCAATACAGGGAAAAGGAAACAAAAAGCAACATAGTAAAATCTGCCACTATCAGAATCAGGATGTACTAAAAAGTAAAAAAAATATATATATATCAAAGTCAAGTTTTTATTCCTCTCTGCCAGAGATAAGTTGTCAATCTTTAAAATGTTTAAAAGACGGGCTGGGGATGTGGCTCAAACGGTAGCGCGCTTGTCTGGCATGCATGCGGCCCGGGTTGGATCCTCAGCACCACATACCAACAAAGATGTTGTGTCCGCTGATAACTAAAAAATAAATATTAAAAAACTCTCTCTTTCTCTCTCTCTCTAAAAAATAAAATATGTAAAAGGGTATTTCCCCCTATGCTTGAAGAAATAGATCAATAACTTTAAGAATAGTACCAACACTACATAGATTTTTCAATTTCTAATCATTCAAACCAATTCCCCAAAGCCAAGCTGTAAACCTAACTATTTTAAATTGTAATGTTAATTTTTAAAAGCTTAGATACCAGATTTCTAGCATAGAAATCTGTAAATAAAAATAAATGAAGGATTAGGTATCTGTAGATAGGATATATAGCTTAGAAAAATGATCTCCTGGGAATTTATTTTGCCTTGAAATAATGTATATAATCTAAATGGTTTCACTTGGCACAAAAAACTGGGGGTGCAGGGAGGGAGGGAAAAGGGGAGTAATCTACAAGCAGAGGGCAGATGGCTTTACTGGGCTCAGATACAATTTCACTATTCTGTGATGTGAATATACATGTCATTTTCTCTATTATAGAAACCAATTGAAATATTAAAGAAATAAATAATAAGAAAAGGATACAAATCTACAACCTCTTTTAAAAAGTAAATGGATGCTAGTGTTTGGATCTGGAATGTCCTTCAAAGGACCATGTATTAAAGGTTTGATCTCCAGACCATGGCACTACTGGGATGTGGTATAAACTTTATAATGTGGGCTTAATGGGAAGAAGTTAAACTCCTGGGAGTGTGCCCCACAAAGGAAACTGTAGGACCCTTCCCATTCCCTTCTCTGCTTCTTAGCTGCTATTAGGTGAGCAGCTTGCTTACCACATACTCCCCCATGATGCACGCCCTCTCCATAAGCCCAAAAGCAACTGGGCCAATTGGTCATGGACTGAAACCTCCAAAACTGTGAGCTAAAAATAAACTTATCTTCTTTTTAAGTAGATTTATCTCAGATATTTGTTATAGTAATAGAAATCTGACTAACAAAACTCTTGGTGTTGAAAAGTTTTTGTTTTTCATTTCATTTATAATATGCATAATTGGAAATGCTAGAAATAGGAATTAATGTATGCATAGATAACCTTGGTTTTTATACTTATTGTTTTATTTAATTTAGTCTCAGAAAAGAGAGAACCATGCACCCATTTAGAATTTTATATATTAATTCACTTTGAAATGAATTTAGACAAAGCAACCAACATTTCTTTTAATTCCTTCCCTCTCTGCCATTACCCTCAATTACTCACATCTCTATAGCCATCTATTATGTTCCCAGAAATGTCTCCTGCTATGTCTCTACAACCAGCTGGGCAGAATTTGCTGGAAAAAGAAAAATAATTTGTATTTATTAAATTATACTGAAACAGAAGAAATATTATACTATACTTAAATTTAAAAGTACTTTCTTTTATAGAATAGAAGGGGATACTTGCTTTAATGACAAATCACAAACCTGACTCATGAAAACAAGTTGATGTAAAATGTTAATCTAAAAGCAAGTTTTACCCAGTAATTATTTATTTTATATGAGGATTGACCATAAACTCTATACTAAACAATGCATTTTCCTAATGCATTTTGATTCTAAGATGTCTAAGAAGTATTTTTAAGGTAAAAGAAAATTTTCATCTATATAGTGTAATCTCATTTTTATAACAACAAATGCTTAAAATGTATAACAATTTATGTATTTTAAAAATAGTTTATAGGGCTGAAGATATAGCTCAGTTGATAGAGTGCCTGCCTTGCATGCACAAGGCCCTGGATTCAATCCCCAGAACCACACACAAAAAAAATTTTTTTTTTTAGTTGTCAATGGACTTTTATTTTATTTATTTACATATGGTGCTGAGAACCAACCCAGTGCCTCACACATGCTAGGCAAGTGCTCTACCACTGAGCCACCACTCCAGCCCCTGACAATTTATTTATTTAAATATTTTTAGTTGTAGATGGACACAATTCCTTTAATTTTATTTAGTTTATGTGATGCTGGGGAATTGAACCCCATGGCTCACACATGCTAGGCAAACACTCTATCACTGAGCCACAAACCCAGCCCCTGACAATTTATTTTTTATGAATAAAAATAAGGTAAAAAAGAATGCTCCTGAATTCTCTCTGAGAATAAAATTGTAAGGAATTTTCACTCTGTATGCTATATTTACCATAATATCTTCAATCTTTGTGCTGGGACTGATAGAAACAGAACGGAAGCTACATATGCAAATTTAAATATTTTAGTAGCCAAATTAAAAATGTAAAAGGCACAATTAATAATATATCCCAATTTGTTCATTTTTACATGTCATAAAAAACTATCAATGAAGATATTTTACTTTCTTTCTTCTTTTTATTTTTTTAAACTTAGTTCTCAATAACTGGGGTATATTTTACACCGTCAGCACATCTCCATTTGAACTTGCCCCCAGTTCAAGCATTTGATAGCTACAAGTCACCAGTGGTTACTGTAATGGGTAGTACTCATCTATGTATGTTTAAAATTAGGGTTTAGTTTACTGAACAGCCATCTTTCAAGAACCTTTCGAGAAGCACATTATGAAATATAGTGTGGCTGAGGGTCTTAGTGCTATGGACAGGGTGACCAGGCTATGTTTACCTCCTAGCTAGCTGTGTGATCCTAATACTGCATATACTCCCTCTTCATTCAGTTTTTTCACCTTTAGTTCCTTCAAGAATTAACATATCAGTAGGATATGAGAGAGAGTGATTTACATTTATGAAATTAAAAAAGGAAGCTAAGTCTTATGAGAACATTAATAGCTTTGAAGATGAATGACATGTGCCCTAGTTTCTATATATGCCAGTTAACAGTGTTTACTTGGTTTGTTTAAAAAGAGTGTGCCAGACCACATTCCAAAATAACAGCTGTTTTTATTGCATTTCCTTTCAGTTTTCCCTTGCTGTCTAAGCCAATTGTACTGTAATGACAACTAATTATCACAACTATCCAAATAAATGTTTCATAATTCTTTCCCAGTAACCTTTTGGAGTACTGGTATTAAAGCAGTAATCAAGGAATTAACAACCAAAAATAGTGGGAATCTTACTATAGGTTCACAATTTCTTAAGAGTCAGTTCTCTTCATGTCCGCATTTAAAATGTTTTGGATATTAGGAAAGTTAAAAGGTGCTAATGATACATATAATGTGAGACCCCTGTAGAGTCAAAACAGTAATAGCTCTGTTTCAAACACATGAAGAGCAACTTTAAATAAAATATATAAAGACTAAATAACTTTATGTGAGTGAATCTAATCCAATATTGCTGTCAAATGAATTTAAAGTCACATCAATCAGATTAATGTCACCAAATGAGTAGCAAAGGATTTCAAAGTTTTTCATATTTCAGAATTATGCATGAGGGATATGAACCCACTACAAAATGGCTGGCCTACAGCTTAGACCATCTGGCATCATATTGCCACCCTGTGGCCTTGAGTATTTTTCCTATCTCTAGGATAGAAAATGACCTCGGATGCCCAGAGGCCTTATCACTTTGAAGGCATGGCTGGCAAAGCCTTAGAGAAGCTGGAGTATGTGGGTGTGGGATAAATGGCAAGACTACAAGGCAACACTGCATTGTTACTCATTTCTGGTTTTCCCTTTCCTCTACTATACAGTATTAACTAACCCTGGAGTTGGTTCTGTAACATAAAATAATCACATTCAGAATGTCCAAATGTCTGAGATATTATAAGCACAGGTTGTTAAACCCTCTCCCCTGGGATATACTTTAGTAGCTGTGTGGGCCTAGGCAAGTTACTTAATTGCTCTGTGCCTCATTTTCAGGATAAATAAGAACACACCTTATAGGAACAATTGCATGAATTATTCCTGTGCTAAGTGCAGGGAGAGCCACTAAGGAAACACTCTAAAGCACTACAGTTTTTGTGGGCAGTGATCTCTAGACAAGCGGTTCTCAGCTGGGGGTGCTTTTGCTCATGAAAGACTTTTAACAATGTCTGGAGACAATCTTGGATATCACAGTTGGCATGTAGAGGGGAGAAGCCAGGGGTGCAACAATGCACAGGACAGCCCCACACAATGTCAACCTGAAGCATCACCAGTGCTGGGGTTGAAAATCCTGCTAAAGACCATTTTATTCTATAGAGGAGGAAATGTGTATCAAAGAGATTAAGAAGACATTCCAGTTAAAGTAAAGCAGGGAATGATAATTTTCATCTCCTTATTCTCAGTAGCTTTTTTTAAAAAATTCTTTTTCTTTTCTTTAAGTGGGAAAGACAAAATAAAGCCCTCCTTACCAACACTCACCTATGAAAGAATTACAAAAGTCACTCTCAAATACTGATCAGGAAAAATGTGTACTCTAGACTCAATTATGGCTCTTTGGTAAAACAATAAGCAAGTTATAGCTCGTGGGCCAAATTCGGCCTGCTTCTCATTTTGGTAAAATTTGGAGCATAGCAATGTTTATTTGTTTACATGTTAAGCTATGTTTGCTTTTTCACTACAATAGCAAAAGATGCTGTATGAATCCATCCCATGTATTCTAAAATATTTACTATCTGGCCTTTGATAAAAAAAGTTTGCTGACCTCTGCTGTATTAAAAAATTATTTTTGTTGGGTACGGTGGCACATGCCTGTAATCCCAGAGGCTTGGAAGGCTGAGTCAGGAGGTTTTCAGAGTTCAAGGCCAGCCTCAACAATTTAGCGAAGCCCTAAATAACTCAACAAAGTCCTAAATAACTCAGCGAGACCCTGTCTCTAAATAAAGTACAAAAAAGGGCTGGGGAAGTGACTCAGTGGTTAAGCGCCCCTGGGTTCAATCCAAAAAGAAAAAAAAATCATTTAAAATATTCAGCATTAGTTAAACCATGAATGGTTTAAGTACAAATACAGTACTTTATCTGATTTCATATTAAAGAAAACAATGTCTAGCAACATGGCTGAAGTGCAGTTGGGACACCTATATTTACCTGTATTCTGTCTTCAAATAGTGGTTACCTCGTTCCAAACACGTAATTAAATCTGTCATAAATAAAGATAATTGCAGTTAGTAAACTAAGTGGAAATTAAGGCACTCATATTCTAAAGATTTCTTTTTAAATAAAAAAGACAATTTTAAAAAAGCATTTATTCATTATCTAGTTATCTGGATTTTCCTGTTTAAAAATAAACAAAAACTGAGGACATTATCTCTAGTATGAAATCAATTCCTTTCCTTTCTTTTTTCTATCACCGTGAAGGTTTTTCAGTGTTATCATATAGTGCACGATAAGAGAATCTATTTTCAACAGAAAAACCAACACCAGTTAGTTATTATCCACTACATACCTACACAGATCCTGTGCATAACTCCCCTGACAGGAGGAAAAGAATTTCAAAAGCCCAGCATGGTTCCTACAGTTTCCCAGGAACATTTTATCAACAATTTAGTCAGTGGCCTCCAGTGACACAAAAGCAGGTATTTACCCAGAACACCAACAGCATATCAGCTTTGATCATTTAGGGTCAAGCACTTAAAACAGAGTATGCTTTCTAGTGTTATTTACATAACTAAACTAATATTCAGCAATTGGGAAGCTAAAATACTATGAATCACTATTTTTTTCCCCTTTCTGATACAAGTAAATGAACCCATGGACACTCTTATTACTGAGTTATACCTCCAGACCTTTTTATTTTGTGAAGGGTCTCAGTAAGTTGCCCAGCCTGGCCTTGAACTTATGATTCTCCTGCCTCAGGCTCCTAAGTAGCTGGTATTAGAGATACCACCACAGCCAGAGATACTATGTGGATCTCAACAAATTCAGATAAACTTACTTCAATGCCCTAAATATTCCACTCTTGCGATAATAGTTTTTTTTTTTTTTTTTTTTCATAAACCTTTTCAAGAATCGTAGGAAGCAAGATACAGTGAACACTGGCCATGCGGCCCATCAGATCTAGTTAGCTGTGAAAGAAATGAACAGCGCATCCCTTTCCCAGAATATTTCTGCCAGAGGGGACTGAGGGCAGAACTTTTGGGCACCTCTGTGACCCTGGGAGGGTGTGAAGTGGGCTGCATAGTAATTACTCTGGAGTTCAAGGAGCCAGGACAGGAGGAGACACTTTTCCCTCTCCTCACTTTGTGTTTCCTTTCCCTTCTCTTTCACTCAAGATTAGCTCCAAGGTTAAGACACCATGTGACAGCACCTTCTGCATACTACTTAAATTGTGGGTGTCTCCTGTGCTGGTGCACTAGGGTATGTTGAGGGTAGAGATGGGGTCACCAGTTCAAAGGCTTGTCCCCTGAGGAAAGGAAGCTAGGGGAGAACTCAGAGAAGACCAGGCCTTAGCGGGGCCAGGAGGGGAGCCCTGAAGAAGTATCACCCAAGCCTTTTAGAAAAAACGAGATCCACCTTAGGCCACATAGGTCAACGGATCCATTTATGACATAATGATTCCATTCAAATCTAACCACCTCTACTTATGAAGACAGTTTTCTTCTCTTCCCTCACATCTTAATTGTGCACTTCAGATCACAATTCTGCCCAGAGAAGGTGATAAGTACTGAGAGGAAGTCTTAGATAGCATTTACAGATTTGTGTTGATTCTTATGCTATACCTGGATGGTCGCTGCTGGCATAGGTCAGCAAGAAACCTCGACCAGAAATGTGGGATCCACTCTCAAAACGGACAGTTACTTCACTTGTATTCAGCAAGAGTTCTCTCGGAACAGTCATTCTTCCACAATATGGACCTAAAACAAAGCATACTTGTGGCACATTTCAAAATTTACACCAACTGAAAAAATTGCTTGTGTTATTTCTTCCCTAAAGGGTCAAATTTATTACATAACACATAGGTAAAATTCTAATCCTTACCCCTCTGGAATTTTGTTTGACCTGGAGATTGATAATTTGTGACTGAGTTGTGAACTTAATAGGAATACTAGGCTAAGGGGTAAAGTGGCTTACCCTTAATAAGCAACAGGCTGTTGTTAGTTAATCATGAACAACCTGGATAGGTTTTGATTTTGGAAACAGAAGACTAATAAACACAGATGCATTAGGTAATAAAGAAAATATTATCACAAGAAAGATATTCTAGGGTTGTTCTAAATTTGCTCAAAGAAACTCATAAATTCTGAGATTCCAGAATGAAGACTGCCCAATGCATGATGAAAATCTTACTCATCTTACAATGTTCATGTTTGTCTCTGTCTTATAGAAACTTCTGCTTAAACCATACAGTGTATGTTGATGGATACAATAGGTTTACAAAAAGCAGAAAAATTTCCAAAGTCTTGTAATACCATAGTATAAATTATGTAGTTTAAAAAAAATGCTTGAAAAGCAATAAGAATCTCAATGAACTTTTACAAGAGCAAAATTACATTTGGAGCTTAAAAAACAAACAACAACAACAACAAAAACCTTTCTTAAGACTATTCAAATAAAAGTTTAGCTTGCAAGTGTCACCTTAAAAGTCAGGTAGGTAAAATAATCTCTATGAAATAGGGATTAGGATGCAAATTTGGAAGAGAGGTATTCTTCATGAACTTCTCTCAAAACAAGAACAATGAGCAAGTTAATGAAAGAGAAGGAAAGGAAGAAAAATGACCACTTCCACTCAGTGTGAATAAAACTGTGTTACACAAACCACAACCAACAAAGGGACTGAACTGTTTAACATCCAGGAGATCATGAATCAACTAATCCTTTCTCTCCAGCTATGAAGAATTTGATCTCTCTCCTATCCTGTCCAGGGTTCACATTCTGGAGATGTGACAGAATAAGCGTGCTGGGTGCTTACCTGCATGCCCTGCATCTCTGCTGTTCCTTATTATTGAGTCATAGTTAATTCCAAATAAAAAATGACCATGTCCTTCTTTAGAAACTTCATCACATATAATTAAAGACTAAATGCTGCAAATTACTTAAAATAGTATACCTAGAACATAGTGAGATCAATATAAATGCTTATTAAATAAATAAATGAACAAATTAAAAACGAACAAACAAATAATGCCTATTTTCTCTTTAGATTGCATTCCAGGGAGCAAGGAAGTTTTATATCCATCCATTTGGCTCCAACAGATTGCACCTGGCAGGTGCAGTTTGTCGAATATCGTTTGGATTGAATTGATCCAAATGGTCTTCTATTTACAACAGTATATGAAAGCCAAACCCAAATAAAAGGATAATAAAATATTTTTAATTTTGTCACTTTAAAACAACATGGAAAGCCAGAGGTGGTGATACACACCTGTAATCCCAAAGACTTGAGAGGTTGAGGCAGGAGAATCATAGGTTCAAAGCCAGCCTCAGCAACTTAGTGAGGCTGTAAGCAACCTAGTGAGATCCTGCCTCTAAATAAACAAACAAACAAATAAACAAATAAATAAATAAATAAAGGGCCATGCTCAGTGTTTAAGCGCTTTGGGTTCAATCCCTGGTACCAAAAAAATAAAAACACAGAAAAATCAAGAAGAAAACAATAGAGAAGAAAAAAAATAGTGTAATGGATAATATAGATTTTTATGTTTTACATTTTAATATTGCTCATAAATATTGTAGATAAGCAATAGAGACTAAATCTATTTTAATATAATGAGGTTGAATGACAAGCATTTAAAATTTTTTTTAATGTATTTTTTTGTTGTTGTTGTAGGTGGACACAATACCTTTATTTTCTTTTTAATATGATGCTGAGGATCGAACCCAGTGCTTGAAGTGTGCCAGGCGAGCGCTCTACCATTGAACCCCAGCCCCAGACCAAATGACAAGCATTTTTACAAGATTAAATTGAGTTACATTGATGTATTTGACTTAATTATCAATGGGAATGTTTGCTTTTTTGTTTTTGTTTTGTTTAGATTTTTATGGAAAAGTTGAAAGGAAAGATTGCAAACTTGTATTCATTTTACACAGATAAGTGTATGTTATCACACTAAGTTGTGCAATATATATGATTCCCTAGACTCAAAAATACAGTAAATACAGTAATATAGTAAAACTCTAATTTGGTTTTATCCTCCCAAAGTTATGATGGGCATGTAAATACTTCTGGAAGAAGTTCAAAGAAAGAAAAGGTAAACACACTCTCCTGTAATTACCCTTATGCCCCAGACACCAATCCCTCTCACATCTACCAAAAATGTGCTGCAAAAATGTAACTGAATCCTAGAGGGAGTGGAATACACCCTCTTTGTGTAAATGTCATGATCAAGAGTCATTTTCATGGTTTCCTCACAATTGCCACCATCACAACAGCAGGAGGGAATGATCTTGGCATGGGCATAGGAGGGAGCCCCAGCTACAGGGTGGCCTGTAGCAAAACATCCAAATTATCCCATCTCAAGGCTTGACAGATGCAGATTCCTTAGAGACGAGACATCAGTAACTACATTCCTAGCATTAAAAGGGAAAAGAGATGAAAACAGAAAAATGGGACTGACTGTGAGAGAGAAAAATAATTCATGGGAAACCACTGAAAGGCCCTGGTCTGTCCTAAACCATGTTCTCTGTTTTCACCAGATGGTATCTTTTCTTATGAAAGCCTTTCTCAGCCCACTCCTGCCCAAAGGATGTAAAGTCATCTACTGCATAAAAATATTCTGGTCAACGACAGACTATTTTCATTTTGGTGGTCCCATACAATAGTAATGGAGCTGGGATTCCTATTGCCTTGTGTCACTGTGGCCATTGTTATGTCAGCACAACATGGTAACACTAACTTCCTAGGCTACTAATTGTATAAAAGTACAGAGCATACAAGCATGTGCAGTACATATGCTTGCTAATGTTAAATAATTATAGTACTGGTTTATCTACTTATATTTTTATCATTATTTTGGAGTGTATTCCTTCTATTCATATATAAAAAAAAGTTTACAGTTAAAGAGTAAGCCACATGACATCAGCAGCAGCTTCATACGTCTCATGCTTGCCACATCATGGGTTGCATCAAGGACCGTGTAAAGTGATTGATCTGTCCCATCTAGGTTTGCATGACGATAGTCTGATGTTTGAACAATGACAAAATTGCCCAACAGGGCATTTCTCAGAATCTCTCTCTATTGCTAAGTGACAGTAGAGACAGGTCTCTTCACTGTTATGCTCTGTCTTGACTTTTAAGAAGGGTTCACACCTGTATGTAAACATTTACAAGGATAAACTTAAATGGAAATGAAAGCTTAGTGATTTCTCATTTTGACCATGGTTATATTTTCTAGCCCAAGCAGCGTTACTGGATTTGCAAACCTGTCTCAATTCAAAGCGAGAATGGACTCCAGCTTTTTATAGTTCCCTCTAAAAAGAAGACTGGCACTTTCCAGGGATGTTTGCTTTACAACCAGCAGGGCCACACTACACTGGGACTTGCCATCTAACTTTTACCTTTTGTGGAATGTAACTGGCAGCCTTGGATTGTGGGAAGAACTGTCAGTGATACCAAATGCAACCACATTTTGTGGCATTTGGCATCAGATGTGAGAGACCAAGACCTAGTAGACAATGGACTGATTCCTTGGACAAAAGGAATAAAGGGCCAAGAACCCTAGGAGCTGCCTTCTTTCGAGCCCAGTAGCCCCATTCCTCTCCGCACATCCCCTGTTTGGGGCTACTGTTCCCTTAGCAGCTGAGAGGAAAACCCTTTATCTTTCCATCCATGAATAAAGAGAGCTGTCCTACAAGGAAGAATAAATTGCCTGTTCCTTGCCAAGGCCAGAATCCTCTTGATTCTCTGACAATCTCTGAAGCAATTTATAGCATTTCTGCATTCTCCATGAACTGTCTGCCCAAGTCTCTGGGCATTAGGAAGCAATGGGAGTTTGATTAAAAACTGTTCCAGGCCATTCATTCAGGTCCATGTGTGGTTTTGACCTTGAAATTGATGAAACTATGTTATTGTTTCATCTGTGAAAGAGACATGTTTTTTAAAGTGCTATGACATCATTAGAAAAAGACAAAGAAACCTCACTCCCTCCATAACCACACTGTCAGTGGTAAGAAACAGAAACACTAAGTCAAATACCTAACTCCTGAGGGGGTTGTCATAAATTAAGAGGAACAAGAACAAAGCAGCCTCCTAAAACCCCTGGTCAGTCTTACAAAGCTCCTTCTGAAGTACACATGGATTTTTCATAATAGCTAAGAACGTGCCTGGTGGACCTCAGTGGCCTTGCCTGGGAGTATCACTGGCAGAGGCAGCTACATGGCACACCCTCAGCTGCCAGAGAAGTGGCTCTGGGCTTGGCCTGGCTTTGAGGCATGCTGATAAAACAACTTCCAGAAATGCTGAAGCTGCAAACACATTAGATTTGTGTCCATTTTCCATTTGCTTTTTCAATGCAGTCCAATAGCAGGGTTTGTCCTTGCTTGCTAATTGTAGTAGAGTCATTGTGCAAAATTACAGAATTTTCAGGGCCATTTTCTTTGAAAAGGAGAGAAATTAGCATTAAAAAGGGATATTCCTAGACTGTGCCATTAAAACCATAGTCACGTAACAATGTAAGTGGTATCCCTAGAGAGTTTTGGTTCCCAGACAAAAATCAGTGACAGATGACAAATGAACAGGCGGGTTCCTAGACAAAGGTGCAACTTTCTTTGGGGTTCAGGGACCCAGGTCAATAGTGCCTTAGCACTGGAGCTTATTGCTGTCCCCCAAAAGATGACAGTTACTGACACAGTTTGTCTTGGGAAGTATTTGGGAGGAAGGAAAAGCTCTTTCTTCTGGACACATGATCATGTTAATGAAATATTTAGAGTGGAACATTCTAGCTGATTTGACCTTTAATATGTTGAAAATTTCTTTGAAGTTTTGTTTTATCTTTAAAACTCATAATTCTAATCAATAATACGTCTGAGAGACATAAACTACTTATAAAATAGAGGCTTCTGATGTATTGTTTCCCCTCTTTGGGCTTTTAAAAAATCAAGAGACATTACAATTAGATCTCATTGCAGTATGTCAGATATATATCATTCTAAAAAATAATCAGAGAAATATTATGATTATGAGTCAAAACTCTTACTATTGCTTCCTGCTTTCCCCATTTCTTCTTTTTTTTTTTTTTCTAGTGCGAACATCAACAGTTGACTTCACATCATTGTACTTCTAAGTCACTGACAATGGTTAAAAAATTGAGGTTGGAGGTGGAGGTATAGGAAATGCAAGAGAACAATTCTTGAACTTCCTGATTTTCCTACAGTGCAAATCATTTAGCAGAACATGATTAATGTAACTGACTGCACGTAGGATCCTGTAGTGAAGCAATTCCTCATCTCCCTGGCCAACCTGCCTCCTCTAAGTATTTTAACTAAAAAGCATTTTTTTTTTTAAGTTTTAAATTTATACCAGTATTCTGTGAGTGAGTGATTTCTCATAATCCCATCTTATTTTCAGGATACACCTGTGGAAAGGCCTGGAGAAGTTTCCCTTTCTTCCAGCAAGTGATAAATAAGAACTGTAATAGGGGTCTTCTAAAGCACAAACCAAGGGATCAGACAGTGTGGTGCTTAAGAGTGGATTTTTTGGAGCCAAATGAGCACTTGTATCTTGCTAAGTGATCTAAGCATATTTCTTGACCTCTTTAAGCTTCAGTTTCCTTGTGTACAGTGGTTAGTAACAGGACCTGTCTCACAGGGATACTGTGAGGGTGAAATAAGTCAGGAACTCTAAGGTACTGAGCACATGGTTGAGTGCTCAGTCACAGGCACCTTCTACATGATTTCAAAGTTTTTCCATATAATAAATGTAGACCTAAAACTTTATGGACATTTGGGTCCTTTAATGCAGAAGAGATGTCTATAGATAGAGAGATCTTACTGTGAGTCTTCTTACAGTGTGAATAAATACATCTTTTCTAAAAATCCAGACTTTTATATTATGTTTGTCAAAATCAAACTACATACAACCCGATGTTGATTGAGCATCTGCAATTGTAGGGCTATGCTAAGCATTAAGCGATAATAAAAGGATGAATAAAAGGTACTTTGTGGTTCAGGGAACCCCATATCTGGTAGAGAAGACAAAATAATTATCTCAACTGAAAATGGGTACTCTGCTGAAAGTTTAGAAAAGGTTATTGGCAAAGGAGATAGTGATTGAAATTGCCAGACATTTGAGAAGTTTCTAGGGCAGGGAGCCCTAGATTTTGGAACTTGAAATATATGTGTGTGTGTGTGTGTGTGTGTGTGTGTGTGTGTGTGTGTGTGTTAGAAGGAGCAGGAAAAGCAGGAGAAGGAAGAAAAAGAGCTCATGAGAGCAAAAACATCAACAAATGCAAAAACATATCGGGACAGGAAACTGTAAGATATATTTAGGAAGAGGCACGAAGTTAACAATTTTAGAGATGAGGCTGGAAAGGACAGTATAGAAGAGAGAAAGAAGTGTCTTGATATCATGCTAGAGAGTTCCTTTAGCCAGAGAAGCACAATTGAAAATTTTTGAAACGAAGAATTATTACCACAATATTTAACAAGATAAACTTAGATGAAATGGAGACTGGCAAGAGGAGAGAGGAAAACCAGGAGGATTGTTCATAAAGAAATACAGGTTTAGTGCCCTTTATCTGAAATGCTCTGACCAGGAGTGTTTCAGATCCTGAAGCTTTTGAATTTTGGAATATTTGCCAAAATTTTACCAGCTGAACTTCCTTAACTAAAAACCCAAAGCCAACATGTTTTGAAATCCAAAGTGCTCTAAAATCCAAAACTTTTTGAATGTCATGAGTGCTTAACAAGTTTTACATTTTAGAGCATTTTGGATATCAGAATTTTGGAGTAGGGAAGCTCAACCTGTAGATATAGAGATGTGACCTGGTATTATCAGTGAAAAAAAAACTTAAAAAGCCAGGCTAATCATACTTAATGAATAGTCGTAATGAATAGTCTTAATGAATAGGTGTTTTCTGCTCATTTCACAAAGATAAATGGAGAATATCCATATACAGAGCTAGTTCTGGCTCAGGGAACACCTGCCACTGGCTTGGAATGATTTGAGCAAATTCTAAGGCCATTGAAACATACCAGGAGTAAAGTAGGGTATGCCGTTGCTGTTCAGTCTCTGCTTGGTGGAAGGACCAAGGAGCATCTTAAGACAAGGAATAACAATGTGCAAGATTACTGGGAGAAGGAGAGGGCGGGGGAGGACGGACAGAGCTGATGAGGCTAACAGTTACTGAATGCTTATTCTGAGCCAGACATCATTCTTTAAATGTACACACATATGCATCCATCACCCATAAGTGGTAGACACTATAATTTGCTCATTTCAAAGATGAGGAAATGGAGACACAGAAAGGCTAAGTAATTTGTTCAAAGTTAAAAATATGTGGTGAGAAGTATAAAAATTTAGTCAGAAACAAAAACTGAATCCAAGCTGAAGGCCAGCCTGAACAAGGTCCTTTTGAGGTCGTAAGGGTCTATGAGAACTGGCCAGTATCTGGTTCCTGCTAAGACCTCTCCAGGAATATTTCAGGATGTCAAGGAACAACCCAAACTTCATCCATAGGGAAAAGGTCAGTTTTCAGGGAAAAGAGTCAATCTCTTGAGAGACCAGGAAAATGGAAATGATAGTTCCTCTGGGGTACCCAAAGACAGTGGTGGCACAATGTACCTGTAAGTGAATTCAAATCCCTAGGTCTCTTCTGGTCAGCAAGACTGGAGATAGAACTTAGCCAGAAGGCAAGTGAAATTTTAAAGTTAAGAATTAAGATCACCTGTTGGGCATGGTGGTGTACAAGGGCTTTGGAAGCTGAGGCAGGAGGATTGCAAGTTCAAAGCCAGCATCAGCAACTTAGCGAGGCCCTAAGCAACTTGGTGAGACTCTGTCTCCAAATAAAATACAAAAAGGGCTGGGGATGTGGCTCAGTGGTTGATTACCCTTGGTACCAAAAAAAAAAAAAAAAAAAAAAAGAATAAAGATCACCCATATGAACTCAGTCTTTCCTCTTCTGTAAAGCAACCTTAGACATTTTATATTTAGGTGCCTGAGTTAGCACCCATTTTTTTCAAGATTTTTTTTTTTTTTTTTGGTGGTGCTGGGGATTGAACCCAGGGCCTTGTGTATGCTAGGCAAGCACTCTACCAACTCAACTATATCCCCAGTCCCTTTTCTCCAAGATATTTTAATGTTTCATGTAGCCAACCTACTATTTTACATCATGAACATAAAAGTGGGAAGGGGATGGTATGCGAAGCAGTACAAAAGCAGCATTCTTAAAGTCCTACATCACAATTTTAAATGTAATGAATAGGTGTTTTCTGCTCATTTCACAAAGATAAATGGAGAATATCCATATACAGAGCTAGTTCTGGCTCAGGGAATACCTGCCATTGGCGGTGGTGTTGGGGATTAAAAGAAAGGCTACTTAACTAAAGGTTACTTGTTTGAAACTTCAAACTCCACCTTTAAAAGTAAGTGTATTCAGTCTTAGAACAGATTTACTACCTTAATCAAGTTTCTGTTATTTTACATGTCCAAATAGAAGGTAAACTTGTTTCCCAAAATTATGTTCCAAAAACAAAGCATCACCTTATAAATGAGTCCTGTTGAAGTCTCATAATGATCTATTTGAAGAACAAAGAAACAACCACTCAGGAAGATGTTTGAGCTTGACAGAACCTAAAATCAATACAATTTTTGAATGTGCAAAAAGAGTCCACCTGACAAGATAGTGAAAAGGAAAACAAGAAAATTTAATGCAGATTTAGTTCTTATTTTGTGGGGCAGGGATCTATGACGTCACAATTTTCAATGGAAATTGGAAATTGTTATAATATTATGCTAGCCAAGAATGTATCATCTGAATTTAATCATAAGGGCACATCAAACAAACTTAAATTGATAGATACTCTATAAACTAACTGGTCAGCACTCTTTAAACCATACAAAAGATAAAGACAGACTGAGTAACTATTCTAGATTAAAGGAGACTGAGAAGCATGGCAAATAAATGCTTTGTAATCCTGAATTGAATCCTAGACCAAAAAAGGGACATTAGTGTTTCTTTTGAAGGAAATCTCAGTTAAACTGAGAAGCATGGCAAATAAATGCTTTGTAATCCTGAATTGGATCCTAGACTAAAAAAGGGACATTAGTGTTTCTTTTGAAGAAAATCTCAGTTAGTTTGGTCTCTTAAATAAAAATCTACAGTTCCCTTGGTACTAGGAAAGACAATGTTTACTAAGCAAAGTATAATACTTCTTAAAGACTTTTTTTTTTTTTTTTTTTGGCTAAGATAATAGCACACACAATCTTGAAAAAACTTATCCAAAGAAGAGGAAATGGAGACACAGAAATTAAATTTTTATTGAAATGTGAAATTAATTTTTATTGAAAACTGAAATTAATGTTTATAATATCTCAATAACTTGTTTTTTCTATAAAAATCTTAACATATTTTCTAAAATGAAGTTGATACATTTAACATTATAAATTTTTCTGTCTTTTGAGTGTTTCCAGGGTATTTTGAAGAGACAGTTTCTTCACTCAGCCATAGACATAAAAATACATTCTTGGGCTGGGGTTGTGGCTCAGTGGTAGAACACTCACCTAGCATGTGGGAGGCGCTGAGTTCAATCCTCAGCACCACATAATAAATAAATAAAATGAAGGTATTATGTCAACTACAACTAAAATATACATAAAAAATATATGCTTTCTACGGATACTGGAACCTGAAAGATAAGCTACAGTTGTAATATACATAACAAAGAGAGTAATATTATCATCTAGCCCTGTATCAGACCTTTTAACACTGATGAAATCAAGTGCACTGTGAAAGCTGTTGTGGCTGTTGACACTTATTTACAGTTCATTTTGTTACCAAGAATGTGGATCTTAAAAATGCCCAAAGTATATGAAACAAACATTTTAAAACAATATTGACATGGGGATGAACTTTTAAAAATTAACTGCACAGTGATAAAACTGTACAGCTGCAGCATATTCACAATGATTAATGTAATCACATTCCAAGTATGTCCACTCTTGGCGGAGCTCATAAACACTAATGCCAGAAAACATTATTCTTTTTCAAAACATTAACTCTACATTCAAAATTCTGACAGCTATGAGTCTTAAAATACCTTGGCAGTGGGTTTTAACAATTAGTTGGTTAATGAAAATTATCGAGCTGGATAAACTAAAATTAATCAGCTGCTCAGCCCTATATACACAACTGTTAGAGCTGCCATATATCAAAATTTGAGAGGCTATTCCAGAATGTACTGCTATAACTCAGGGGGCATCCCCTCCACTGCTGGCCCAGGCTATACAGCTATGGATGTCTGGGATCCCGTGCTGGCCACAGGGCCAGACATCTGCAGTCATGCTGATCCTGTGAAACCCTCCCTCTCCAATGTAGAGGTGCCCCCCATCATTCTACCATCCTACCCTCCCAGGGAGCTGGGCAGCTGCCACACAGGACCCACAGAAAGACAAAGCACTTCTGCTTCCACCCCCTTCTGCATTCCTTAGGGCAATTCAAACTGACCAAGGGACTATTTAACTCAGTTAAAATAGATGTCTGGTTAGTGTTTTTGGTAAAAGAAAACCTTAAAAATAGCCACAAAAGAGAGAATTCTGAGTACCACTAAACATTTTATCTTAAGAACACTCCCAACTAAGAAAATTACTTCCTCCTTGTGATTTAGGCAAAATTGCTACATAACTTAATAATGGGCTGGCCTACCTTGGAAGGTAATAATTCAATGGCTTTCTTTGGGTGGTAGAACTGGGAGATGGGAGCAATGTCTTAGAGCCACAAAGACAAAGAAATCAATCTTTCTTTTAGCCTTTAGTTTAGCTAGCTAGCCATATGGTCCTGGGCATGTTACCTAATCTCTTTGTGCCTCAGTTTATCTGTAGAAAGAAGTTAATAATATTTACCTGAGGATGGATGTGGGGGATTCTAGAAGATATATAAAAGGGTCAAGTGTGTGCCAAGCAGCATAATAGGGACTGAGTATATTTATTTCCTTGATCATATACTCTGTTTTTAAAAGACAAATATAACTTTATACAGAAAAACTTTAAAGAGAAATAAAAAATTTACTTGGCTTTACTGCTAAAAATGAATTGCAATTCCTAGTGAAAAGTGTGTCTTGAAAACTCAAGAATCTAGAAATGCGGAGTGCAGCACCCTGAAGCCAAGCTCACCTATGTAACTACAGAAGTAGTTAATCTCATTCTTTTCCTCCTTTTTGTATATTTGGGAATACACCTCAAAGTTGATGGAGAAACTTCCTGGTGTGGGAAGCTGCATTTATTTTCCAAGTCCTGCTTTGGAAGGATTTGCTCCCTTCTGTACTGCTGCCACCTCACCAAGGCAACAGGGATGAGCCTCCACTGCTCTGTCAGCAGGTGGAATTACCTGCTCATTTATTTTCCAGGCAAGGAGATGCTTCTCCAAAGAGGCCAGTGTAGGAAAGTCATGTTTGGTCCTGCAGCAGCTGTCTCATATTTTACACTGAAGCTCTGACACTCCCTCCCTCCTTGGCATCTGAAGGGAATCCCTGGCTAAGGAATTCCCTGGCAAGTGCCTCCCTGAGCCAGTTCACTTTAGATTATCAGAGGTTACTGAATTATCATTGTCTCCAGGGGACTTCAACATTCCCACAAGTGTCATTTTTCACATTTGTGCCAAACTCCAGTTAAAAAGTTACAACCAATTGTATGAAACCACCACCTTGACTCTGTCAGAATAATTCAACCATCATTAAAATGGGCATAATATTCCAAAAGATTAAAAAAAAACTTAGATGTTTATACCTTTGTGGGCTAGACAAGTTTGGACTTCTGAGTTGTCTTGGGGCTGGACTGGGTTTCTAGACTGTGAGGGAGGCACTAAGAGCAAGGAAACTACTGGGAAAAAGGATGAAGATAGATGAACAGTTGAGTGTGTTTGAGAAACTACCTGTAGAGCTAATGGGTGACAGATTGGAGTTGAACGAATACAGAATTTTAAAAAAATTCCTAAATGCAGAAGAACCTATATATAGAATTTTGTCTTTGTTTTCCAGTTGTCTAACTCCAAACCATCTTCTGAAGTTTAGGATTAAAGGGTTGCTGTTACTTGTGATTTCACACTCTGATACACTTACAACACATCTGGAAGCACAAAAAGCTAAATTTCAACAGTTACTTAGGAAAGTATCTTTTGCACTTTCTGTTCCCTTTCCCAGAAAACTCCTGTGGAGTTCATTCCTTCACTTCATTCAAAACTCTGCTCAAATGTCCTCTTATTGGAGTGACCTTCGTGACCATGCCTTCTGATGTAGAACAGACAGACTCAACATCACCATAGGATGCCTTATTTTTCTTACTCCCTGTTTTTCTTTCTCACCACCTGCCCTATTATAGATGCTTTTATTTATTTCCTTCCTTCCTTTAGCTGCAAGTATAAGCTTCATGAGAGGAACTTTATTTTTTAACTGCTACATTTCATTTCTTTACAGTGTCTGAAACACATGGTCACTATTTGATAAACATTGGTAAAATGAATGGATGAACTGTAGACATTTTAGCCAAATGTCACACATCTCCAATTCTCTTTCCAGCAAGACTGAAACTCAAATGAAGCTTCTGAGATACACATCTCTTCATTGGATGTCCACTGTTGTTTGAGCTTATGAGCAAATACATCCAACTAACTTATCCCAAGAGTTTACTAAAAGCAAGTTTCTCTTTCTATCTTCCCAGGCTGTAATATTAATTAGCACATCATATTCCCTTCTCCCCAAATGTTCCATGCTCACAGAACACCAAGTCTGTTTTCTTACCATACTGATCTGAAGAACTGGTGAAGAGAAGATAGTCAGAAGCACAGGTCTGGGATTCAATGTCCAAATCTCCCAGCCTCAGAATTAGCCTCTTCCCTTTTGGGACTGTGATAGTCTTTTCGCAAACAGTGTGATTGGGGTAAGTTCCTGGATAATTCTTAGATGTCATTGTTCCACTGTCCTGATAGGTCACTATGTGCCCACAGCCATCACCTGGTAAAGAAAAAAAGATAAAAGACATGAATGCAATTAATTCTGAGAACTGACAGAATCCAGTACGATTTTATTCCTTTATTTTTCTAAGAGAAGAAAAAGCTAAACAATGAAGATTGAATTATTAAACAGTATTTATCATTTTAGGTTATTTCATTTCTTGCTTCCCAGTTTAGTCTTCTGAACACTGATGATCAAAATGCTTCATACAGTGTATTAGAATGGAAAGCTATTTTTTTTTCTTATCACATATCTACCCATCTGAATTTGTCCAGTAGGCCCTTGACATTGACTCATTTGTTAAAACACTCCAAAAACCAACGTCATAAAATAATTTGAAGCAGGAAAAAAAAGTTACTCATCTCAGACACTTGTGCTGATAAATGAAATATTATATATATGTGATGCCCCTGGTAGAATCCCAGGCTTACACCGAGAGGACTTGGTTTAGGTGCAAGTCACTTAGCTGGAGAGTGAGCCTACTGGGCATTTCATATTTATGTTTTATTTAATGACAGTCACAGGCTTGAATGTTCCTGATAGACTCAGTATGTATCCTTAGAAAATATCAAGAATCTACTTGCCACATTCTAGACACACGTTGACTTTGGAGGCCCAAAAATAGCATAAGCTACCCCATGGGCTTGAGTAAAATGGATGATAGTCATGCATTTGAATAACTAATTTTAGATGCCATGCACTCTCTACCAAGGGATCAAACAAAATGCCTAAGGGGACAAAGAAGAAAAAAGCAAGACAGACTCTGTTTCTGTGAATTATTAGTATTTCACTAAAACAAGAATTATTTTAAGACTTTCTGAATAAGGAAGTCCATCAATTAACCAACAAGTTGTTCCAGTTGATTAGTGATCAAGTTAATCGCACAAATATCTAATGACATGTACAACCTATTGGGCTGCAAACATCCAGATTACAAAAAGCCTGCGGCTAGTGTGGTTTCACAAAAACAGAGGAAGAATTTCTGACCTCAGCAGGAGTGAGGGAAAGCAGAAATCTGTTGAAGAAGGATCTCTTTAAGGTAATGCAAGAAGGTCTCTCCATGCAAAGATCTGCCACAAAGAAGCCATAACTGGGAATCTGAAGGACCCAAAGAATCTCATTCCGCCCTGCCTCTTCCCTAGCTAGAGGAGGTCCCATTTGGAGTTTTCCACTATTCCACTTCCTTCTTGCTGAGGCTTCTAGCCCAAAGGGTAAACAGGTCAAATAGTCAAAACAGCTATACAACTCCAGAATCTATCTGAACTCAGGAGCCAAAGCTGAGGAAAAGGATTCACCCATTATCTAGAAACTTGGACAAAGATTCACTCATTATCCAGAAACTTGAACAAGGTTCTTGGCAGCTCCTGGGTGGGGGAAGCAGAGTTGGTTCTAATGGAATGCCAGGAGAAAATATTGGAGAGACAGCTAAGATAAAACTACCATGAAATCTTGAGATCTAAAGAAGTAGTTGTGAAAGTTACATGGTAGGCAATAAAGACCTACAGAATTTTCTCAATAGGGAGATAAGGACAGGGTATTAGAAAAAAAAAATGATCAATTGGTTGGATAATACTCTAGGAACTAGAAAGGAGAGAGAATTTTATTGGAAAAGCAGCAGGACTGGGAGTGGGCAAGGTGGGGAGGAAAGGAAAGAAAAATGGGAAATTCACAGACAAAATCAAGTCTCAAGCTTGGGCTGGTTATATAGAGAAAGACAAGAGGAAAAAAAAATCCAAGTTTTGAGTGAAGAAAAATTATTGGAGCACTGATGCTAATACAGAAAAGAAGGTAAATCCAGAAAGGAAGCAAGTCTGGGGTAAAGGTTGTAAGCTTGGTTGTAAAGTTTAAAGTGACAACTAAATTCCCTGGGCTCTTGGGCAGTTGTCAGTAAGCACAAAATTGTTGAGACTTAAATGAATATTACACTAGAGAGAGGCATATTGTGTAGAAGCACATAGTGCATAGATCATTGATTTAAATTTTGAATTATTTTCCTTCCTTTAAAAGCTTTAATAATAAGTCAGGTGCAGTGATGTATGCCTGTAGCCCAGTTGGGATCACAAGGCCAGCCTTGGCAATTTAATGAGACTCTGTCTCAAAAAAGAATGAAAAGGGCTGGGGATGTAAATTGGTGGTAGAGCATCTCTGGGCTCAATCCCCAGTACCAAACAAACAGACAAAGCCAAAAATCAAAGAAATTGCACTGACAGTTTCTCTTGGAAACTGGAAGACATGACAATCACATTCTCACAGTGCTAGTGAGATGGTGGATGCCCCTTTAAAGGAAACAAACTGGTTCTGGTAGTTCCCCACTGGATCCTTGTCACTTGCCCCACCACCACTGTAGGACTGAGCACACTGAGAAAGCAACCCTGGGGTAACTAGCGTACAAACAACTGTGCACATAAACATACACATAACTTCTCCAAGCCACCAATATAGAGCCTGGCCGAACATTTGAACACCTTTTTCCTATTAGAATTCTCCTCAATAAAAGAAGAAAAAGAAAACTTTTTAAAAGATACACAAGCTAATATAAAATGAGTAGCAATTATGTGACTCAAACTGTGTGAGGTTCTTGTATTCTAAATTTTATTTTTTAAAGGGTGACATGTCACAACAAAGGAACACTCCAGGGTGTCATTTTCATTCAATCCTATAATTCTACTTCTTTCCAACAACTTCTATTCTAAAACCCAAGAGGAAGCTTGTCACCCAGAGAGGCTGGCAGGATGAAGGCAGGTTTGTCTTTGACATCCCCATCCTTAACATCCCTATCCTTTGCCTGGGGACCTGGAGCTCCTTGGGAAAATTCCACTTTTCCATTAACTATCAGACTGAAACCCTATGAGTCTTTGTTCTGCCAAAAAACTGAAAAGCAACTGTAGAGTCCCAATTTATTAAAAGGAAAACTGTCATCAAAAATTAAAGTTTCACTCTTGTTCACGGAAATAGACCATGGAGTTTCTTGTGACAAGCTTTAATGCAATATAGTTAAATGTGGGTCTTACTGCATCAGGAATTTTCATCCAGTTTTTCTTCTAATGATGTCCCAGGACTAGATAGAATATGCCAAATGAGAAAATGAAAAGTAGGGAGAGAAAATGTCTACTGTTTCATGTTCTGAATAAGACAGACACATGTAAATGAAAAAACAAGAGAAGCACTGTTTCCATGATATGATCCTGACACTCAGGCAGCCTAAATCTCACAGTTAGACTCTTTAATTCAGAATCATGGACAAGGGAGTAGACGATATTTAAGAATCCATCAGCTCAAGTTCCTTATTTTGTACATCAATGTGAACATTCTGGTTGTGATATTGTAGCATGGTTTGCAAGATGTTACCATTTGGGAAAACTAGAAAAAGAGTATACAACATCTTTCTGTGTTAGTTCTTACAACTATATGTGATCTATAATTATCTCAAAATAAAAAATATAACATGCTGAAAAAAATCTGGTTAAAAAATACATGTTAAAAAAAAAATCTGAGCTGGGCACAGTGACACATGCCTGAATTCCTGCTACTTGGGAGGCTATGGCAGGAAGATGGCAAGTTCGAGCCTCATCAACTTAATGAGACCCTTTCTGAAAACAAAAAGTTAAAAACAGGGCTGCGGGTGTAGCTTAGTAGGACAGGGCCTATAGTACTTAATTTTTTTGGTCAGTCCACTTAAGTTTGGCTGGTAGAGGTAAAAGTGAGGGGACTTTTAATTTCTATTTTAATACTTTACTATTTGAGCTTCTTGTTATCCTGTGTTTCTTCTATTTAAGTTGCTTTCATTAAATGAAGCATTTATACAAATTTGTATTGAAGAGATCTTTTGAAATGAGAACCAATAAAGGAGGCCAATTTTATTCTAAAACCTCTATATACCAAACCCATTATCCCAGTTCCTTCCATTTGTCTAAGGAGCATGAAGCCCTCTGTCTGAAGAGGGCTCACAATACATGTTCCAGTTCATAGATGAGAAAACAAAAGATAGATTGACTTTCTTTAAAGCTGGTGGGTTTTTCAGACATTTTAGTCTCACTGCTGTATTTGATTGAACAACACTTGTGTTTCTGTGTTAAATCTTGAAAAACACCTGAATTTCTGCCCTATCAGACCATCCCTTTTGATATTTTTACAACATTCTTCCATTAAAAGGGATAGCTCCTAGTGAGATGTAACTGACTCTGGCAATCTTATCCATAGATAATAAAACTATTTGGTAGAAGGTTGAACAACTTGAAAAATGGAGGGATGACACTTGCTATCATCTAAACTCACCCCCAGATCTCAGCGTGACTACATGTGAGGAGACGTATTATGTGTCTCCCTGGAGGATAAAATATACATCAATACCTATGAAGCACTCCTGCCCAAAAGCAAAACATGTGAATCAACAATAATTGATCTTGAATCTCATCGATTTTTTCCAGTCTACAGGAAACACAAGGGGTAGAAGCACAAATTTATTGATTCCAAAAAGATGCCATTAAAGCCAGGCATGGGACCACATTTCTCTAATCCCAGTGACTAAGCAGGCTGAGGCAGAATAAATGCAAGTGTGAGGCCAGTCGGGGCAACTCAGTGAGATTCTGTCTAAATAAACAAATAAGCAAATAAGCCATTAGTTGAATCCAGGCTATAGACATTCTGGGTGCAATTGACATTGTTTTCACCATATTGAATTGTATGAAGAAACACACTTATCAAAGTGTTAATTTTAGATTAAAGGAGATTAAAGAGCCACAATAAACAAATGGACCTTGTTTGAGTCCTAACTTGAAAAACTAACCTTATAAACCTTTAAAAAGAGAATTGGCATATTAAATAATAAAACATCAGGAATAATAATTAATTTTATTAGTTGTGACAAGAGTATTGAGGTTATGTTAGAAAATGTCATTTTAACAGATGTCTACTGAGTTATATAGGGCTGAAATTACATGAGTACTGGGATTTGCCTTAAAATACTTAGCAAAAAAGAGGAGAGACAGTATAAATAATAA